GAAGCAACAATAAGATATCCAGGCTCTGAAACGAGTCCAATCTTTCAATTGGGGACCCTGTTAAACTGAAAGACCTGGTGTTTAACTTCTATAAAAATCTATTTAGGGAGGAGGAGCCCAATCGCAGATAGTTGATCTTCGAGAACTTGTGGCCGAATATTTCTCAAGAAGAATGCATGCAAATGAAAGTTAAAATGGGAGTTACTTGACATTTAAGCAACTCGCTCGTGAGGGTGAAAAATAAAAATTTGATCTTTGTTAATCAATACGGAACCCATAAGTCTTTACGGTCCTCATGAGTTATGCCTTATGATTTACCTGTTAAAACACTTACGGGTTTTAGGATTACCTTTATCACTTGTAGACACTAAAGTGGATGGAGTCCTCTAAGGTTGAGCCACACGACTATCTTTTGAATGCAAGTGAGAACCTTTCTCCTTGAACTCCTCATTCTCCTTGGATGCTTGCTAGGAAATGGCAGAGTGAAGGCTTTCAAGTGTTTGGATTTTCTTTTCTCAAGACTATGATGATTTCTTGAGGTTAAGTGGGGTAACAATGGAGGAGAGGATGGTGTGTGTTAGGTGGTCAAGAACTAGGGTTCTTGGTTCAAGAAGCTAGGCTAAATTTTCATGATTGAATTAAGTGAATTGGACGCCACTTTTTGTTAGTCATATAATTAGGATTATGATCATAATTTGAATGATAAGAAATTGGCCCACATCCATGAGAGATTTAGTTGTTCTCTTTTGGATATGATGATATCATGAAGTTGGAGAACAATTATCCTCATTTGAATTCAAAATTCAAGTTTAATGGATCTTATCCATGTTGTTCGAATTTGAAAATATGATCTAGAATCTTCCATCTTCAAATTCGCCTATAGCATATCCCAACCTCTAAGTTGTTGCTTCAATAACCTTATTTGAATTTGTAATTCAAATAATATGGTTGTTGCAAGAAGTCTTATCCAATCCCTATTGGATATAGCTTTGGATAATTCAAAATTATCCTTATCCACTTAATCTCTTGAATTCAAAATTTGAATTTAAATTTTAAATTTAAATTTAAATTCAAATTCAATCTTATCCTAGCTCGTAATTTGAAGTCAAAATTCAAAATTTCAAATTCAAATTTCGATTTGCGCCAAAACTTATTTTGGCTTAGTCAATTACTTGACTTACTAGGACTCATAACCCAAGACCCAAGCCCCTATTAGGCCTTGTAACATATTTGGGCCTATTAGTGGAGAAACTAATTTCACCACTAAAATCCCAAATGGGGCACATGACTTAATTGGGCTTGGAGTCTCATTCCAACTCAATTACTCTTGACAAAGCCCAATAACAATTATTGGCCCAAACTTGCTATAACTTGCAATCAAGAACGACCTTAGTGTGTGACTTATTAGACCTAATTAGTTACTGACATAGATAAACTTGGACCAATTAAACTCCTTTAACAGGCCCAATTTATCTAATGACTATATAAAACACTAGTAATTCTCTGTAGCCTTAGAACTAATCGAGTTGATCAAGTGATCTATCTTTCTGATCTAGATATCGTGTCGGCGTCATCCCTTATACGTCATTCACATTTACTCGAGAGCAAGGATAAAGTATCATTTCTCTTGGTTGACTAAATATAGCTTTTCACAGAACTAGGAATCTTCTTCTATAAACTCTCAGGCGGATCCATGACTCTTCAGATCCCTTACTCTGCACAGATTCCTGAGTCTAATGAAAGTCATGCAAGCCCTACCAGTCTTGTGAATGACTAATCCCTTGTAGGGGACTATGAGTCCTATCGGCATGTCCATCTATACTCATGTATTCGAGTTATACCCAAGAGTACACTGCTCTCTCCATTTTTTAGGCAGATAGAGTTGTACATGCAAAGTATAACCCTAGGTCATAGTGTTTGATGACATTCTCAAGTCTAGAACGATCCGCACCACCAAATAATAAGAGACATTACAAATCCAATGATACTCTCTACATAGAATCTTTGTGGAGTCTATCTGCGGGTCAGTTTAGTGCCATATGCTCTTTAACAAATTCATCCATGACATCAGCTAAGGCATCTCCATGCCTGCATTCCATGAGGTCCCTACCTTGTATCTTCATACAAGTATATGATGTTGTATTAGTCTTATTGAGATGACTAATGCCTATCTTGGTGATTCAAGACTATGAATAAGTTTCAGGGGACATATATGTAGTGTACTCGAGTTCTCATGATCATGATCCCCATAATAGATACTCGAGTGAACACTCGTTCTATCTATAGGGCCTTTATCTTTAAATGCATATTACCCATAAAATATAGGCGAGACATAAATATGATAAAGATAAAGTATGCTCAAATATATAAATTATGAAATACCAAACAATGAAATGTGTTCCTCTGATAATATGGATTATCTCTAGGACACCTACATACCAATAGGAGATGGTTAGAATCTTAGGTACCTAACAAATTTCTAAACTCTTGCTTGCAATGAGGAATATAAAGCTCCTGGAGTTGATGGTTATCCAACGGTCTTCTTCTAGTGAAATTGGATTACAATGAGGGCGCAAGTCTGTGAATCAATTAGACGGTTTTGGTCTATCCCATAACAGATTTCAAAAGTTAATTCCACCCTCTTGGTGCTTATCCCTAAAATAAAGAACCCGAAGTGCATCTCCCGATTTAGACATATCTCCCTATATCTGATGATCTATAAGCTCTTTTCAAAGGTCATTGTGTAGAGGCTGAAGCAAATTATGGAGAAGATATCTCCCTGTTTCAAGTAAGCTTTGTGCCCAATAGGCAAATCCAGGACAACATAATCATAATGCAAGAGGTTATCCATTCCATGCATAAAATGAAGGGAATGAAGGCCTTCGTGGCAATCAAAATTGACTTGATCAAGGCATATGATAAACTTAGTTTGAGGTTTTTGTAGCGAACTCTTGAGAAATATCCTTGCCAAGCCATTTGGTTAATCTCATCACGAGCTGTGTTCAGTCCTCAAAAACAAACATTCTATGGAATGAGGGGGTTAAGACGGTGGAATTCTTGCCTTCCAGATGGCCGATCCGATACTTGACACGAATCGGTCAGATGAACGGTTCATCAGGTTCCGAGTCGACCCGGCCAGTTTGAGCTTGGTCTGATAACACTGGTTACAAGTGTAGTTTTGCTTATATTACCCGCATATTTTGGTGTAATTGATTATTCTTTATCTTGAGACCAAACTGATTAGTAAGGTAAAAATTATTTAGGGGATCCTCAAATTACTCCAATATAAGGATTGTGTTTGGTAAAGTTATTAGCAAATATGCTAGTGTGGTACAATTTACCTAAGCTATTTTTTATAGTTTGTATTACTCAAAATTACCTTTCTTTTCTTAAGTGGGGTATGGGATGTTACCTGTATTTAGGAACAATTACACTTACTTTTTATTATCATTACTAAGGCTTTTGGTGACAAGTACAATGTTGTAAATGGTGATGCTTCATGTATTTGGTGTTTATCTCATTAGTGGCTTTAAAAAACCTCGTGAACTGACTTGGATTACTTGTGTAATTTTGGTTGTGTTGCTTAATCCAAAACTACTATCGTTTTAATTAGTGACAGAGCCAGCATGACATATTAGCAAGTGCCAAAAAATTCAGCCAGTGCTCAAATAGCTACGGTTCTTTGGCTACGACCAAGAGGTGACTAATTTTCAAAAAAATTGAAACAAAATTTGCTACGTTTCATGTGTAGCTAAATGAACGTGACTAAATAATGATTAAGCATGTATTTCATGTGTATCTCACTGATTACTTTGAAAAACCTCGTGAATTGACTTAAGTTACTAGCGTAGTTTTGGCTATATTATCCATTTTTTGGTATAATTGATTATTCCTTATTTTAGGGCCAAATTAATTATTAGGGTAAAAATAATAATAGGCATACTTGAAGAATTTCCATAATAATATTATCTTTTGTAGAGTTATTAAAAGGATATGTTAGTGTGGAATAATCTATCTCATTGTTTATATACTTTTTTTTTTTTTGGTAAACATAGTTTATATATTTTTAAGGGAAAAATATTTGTCATTTTAAAATGACAAACACTAAATCCTACTTTTACTGATTACTTTGTCTTAGTCATATCAAAATTTTCTGGATGTAAAATGTTTCACTATTTATAATTAGAGTTGACACAATTAACAGAGCTTAAATATTAAAAGATCTCGAGCTTGATTCGTGTTAGTAATATTTTATTAATAAGAAAAATATTTCTCTTTTAAAGGACATTGAATTAGGTTATTTTAACTAAAACTATCGTATTTCATGGTAGAGATACATTACACAATGAAATGGAGAGAGTAAAAAGTTGTTGATTGACTTTTTTAATTTAAATATGGCTCCCAACTTCTCCTATCACATTGCAGAAAAATTTTTGTGCAATAATTAATTACAATTATATTTTACTAGTAAGACATAATTATAATATCAAAGTTATTTTTATTTTTCTATCAGGTCAATCGATAGCCTTACTAGTAAGATATAGTTGTAATTGATTATTGTAAAAAATATATTTTCCCATGTAAAAAGAAGTATATTTTCCTTTAAATATTAAGTAAAACCCTACAATTTTACTTAAAATAACACAATATTATTTCTTTTAAAAAGATAAATACTTTTTTTCTTTATTAATGGGTCATAACTTCATAAGTATTATTATTTGCGACATTCTCTAATCTTAATTGACAACTTTTTTTAAAAAAAAAACTTCTCCTTTAAAAATTAAATATGATATATTGTGCCAAAAATAAAAAAATATTTTAAGCTTATAATAATCCCTATTACGCCGAAAGAAAAAAAAGAAAAAGAAAAAAAAGAATCTAACAAGAGAACAGCACAAGAGACAGAGGCAGATCCACATGGATAAACCACACCTTTACCAGCCGTTCCCATTTTAGACACAATAAACATCACACACTCACACAACACAACACACAACACACAACACACAACAAAACATAACATAACGTTCGAAACTCCGAATCTCCCTTTTTTTCTCTGCATCTTTTCTTCTCACAAACGATGTTCTGAGAACAAAAGCAAACAAAAAGTTCCTCATCTTTTTCTCTCTCTCATGGAGAGGTACACGCTACCCGTACAACCAAGAACTCACTCTAACATCGTTCCTTGGTTGGAACCCCAAGTTGAAGAAGCTAAACACCACGACAAGGAAGAAGAGATAGAATTAGCCATTGCCATGGATGCTCCTCTCACTTACTTCAAATCCATCATGGAACCCGAACCTATACCCCAACCCGTACCCGAACCTGAACCTGGTTGCTACATCAACTCTGCTATTAGTAGTAGCACTAATATTCCCTTTGTTTCAACAAATCCAACATCTGATAACTTTCTCATTCACCAACACAACATCAACATGGACTCATTCTCTCTCAACCCACACTCTTTCTTCAACAACAACAACAACAACAACAACAACCCTTTTGATACTGGCTTCGATTTGGGTCCAGAAAGTGGGTTTTTCCTTGGGAACCATTCCTCCAATTCCCATTTTTTGATGGGTTTTCCTCAGACTCAGATGGGTACCCTTGAACCCGAGTTTCACACGGGTATGGAACTCGAACCCTTTGGTGGTTCCGGTTCTGGTTCTGGTTCTGGTTCTGGGAATGCTATGTTTTTGAACAAGGCTAAGGCTTTAAGGCCTCTTGAGGTGGCGCAATCCACGCTCTTTCAGAAGCGTGCGGCGAAGAGGAGGAGAGGGGAAGAATTGGAAGTTGAGGAAGGCAGTGTTGATGTTGATGCTTATGATTCTGATGATGTTAATGATAATGGGAATAATGGGAACCCAGATGATGGCACTGTTAATGTTGGTGGAGACCAGAAGGGGAAGAAGAAAGGGCTTCCTGCGAAAAATCTTATGGCTGAGAGGCGGCGTAGGAAGAAACTCAATGATAGGTTGTACATGCTTAGGTCTGTTGTGCCAAAGATTAGCAAGGTATGAAGATTTTGTTTTTGAAACTTACAATTTGATTTGTTTCAATTTTTTCTGTCAAGTAGTTGATCCCTTTGTGGAGTGATTGATTATGTTGAGAAATCTTTAGTTGTTTCTTTTGATTCCTCTTTTCCCAATAGAATTCTCAAGCATGTTAGTTTCTGTAATGAGAAATGTTATTTTGGAACGGATATGGAGAGCGTATTATGATAGAGAGTGAGAAAAGAATAACAATTGATTTGTATGTGGGCGACTGAGATCTTCTCAGATAAACTCATGTCATGTGAGAGGATCTATTCCGGCGATTTTGTCACTTATGTTTGGGGAATCTGGTGTGTGGTACTATATTCTTGACAATTTTAATGAGACTTTAGTTTAGGTTAGGCTGTGTTGGTCTGATTGTTGCCATTAACTAGATGATTAACATTATCAGTACATGCTAATCTACTTTCATTTGTTCGTAGATGGATAGGGCTTCAATACTTGGGGATGCAGTTGACTATTTGAAGGAGCTTCTGCAGAGGATTAATGATCTTCATAATGAACTGGAGTCAACTCCACCTGGCTCATTGGTGACACCTTCTACAAGCTTTTACCCTTTGACACCCACTCCACCAACCCTTCCCTGCCGGGTCAAGGAGGAACTATATCCTGGTGCCTTGCCAAGCCCTAAAAACCAAAATGCAAAGGTAATTTTTGTCCTCTTTGATACAAAATTGTTGTTAGACATAGACACTGTCAGAATTGTTGCTTGTTGCTTGCAGACCATGTAAATTATAATTGATACTGCCTTTATGTGGACCTATCCCATGGCCAACACCAACACGTGTACATGGATGCAAATTTGTTGATGATCTAGTGCACTGGGCTTCAATGAATGTTTCCTTTTTCTGTATATCATATCATATAGTTACCCACCTGCCAAAAATATTGGATTGCGAGATTATGAATATGGACCGTTTACCAAATTTGTTGAGTTGTGAGACCAGTATAGAAATTACACAATTTACTCTTGTCTAATGTCTGCTACATATTACTTTCTAGAAACATAGGCAAAATCTTGCTGAACATGCTCTAGCACAATGCTTGGTGATGACTTTTAGTATGCATTGTATGTCCAGTTTTGAAAGCCCCTTTTTTTCAACAAAATAACATGAGAAGGATATCCTATATGGCAGGGCCTGGGAAATCCCATTGTTGAAATCACGTTAAATAATATTAGATCTGATTATGTGAGATGTGTTTAGAACAAAGCACTGATATATACCTCTTTATAAACTAATCTAGATCAAGTTACTAGTATAGTACAAACCCAACTCAATATGACTTTCTAACATAACATGACTCCAAACACATGAATGTACTTTATATTCTAACAATGCATACTAAGCTCTTAGATTGTGTTTAAAAAATAATGTGGGCTCCATAAACCATATTTGGAAAAACAACTAAGCAAAATTATGTGTCTTGAACAATGGAGATATAACATCCAAAATTAGTACTTCTGGAAAGATACTCAAACAAAATAGTTAGAATGATGCACAGCCAGAAGATCTGGTCAGGAATGATATTTCCCGTGAAGCAATCCTACACAACAAGGCCAAAACTTCTCCATTTTTTTTTTTTAATTAAAAAACACAGGATTTGTAATCTTCAAACAGCTAGAATAACCTCAAATTTGAAATCAGGAGGCCCTAAAATCCTCGGAAATGGTGGCTGGAATTAGAGCTATTAAAGGGGCTGGCATATACAGAGCATTCCATTTGGTCAGGCCATGCTGCCCTGACAAAAAAGTCTTAAAATGTTGGCCTGGCCCAAAGGATCATGTGGACCAAACAGGGCAGCATGCTGAGCTGGTCCAATTTACATGGAAAAAATTAGGCTGGTCTAATTGAGGCCAACTTCTTTTGTCAGGCTTGCTCCCACAAAAGAATGAGCCTCTAATTGTCTGGTCCATCTCGAAGAAATCAGCCTGCAAAATGAGCTGACTAGTCCGGTTGGGCTCAAATTTATACCTATTGCTGGAATGTTAAAAATTGAATCACACTCGAATCTACTTGAAACAACTTGAATTGACTCTTTCATTACTTGCTTCGTAATTTGGTTTGAAACATATTTGTACCAACAGGTATTTGACTCTAACTGATGTATCTGATATTGACAAATCTCTGATTTGTATAATTATATTATAAAGTGAACTTTAAGTTATAAGTGGTTAGTATGTCTTGATGGCCTGTGGTTGTGTTAGTGTGTAGACCTGCAAGGTGTATAAGTGCAAACTAATGATCTCTAACTATGCATTTTTATGTTTACAGAATTTATTTGCATGGTAATTGAGGAAATTGTTTTAACTCGACTTCGGTGTTTCTGAAATTTATAGGTGGAAGTTAGGGTAAGGGAAGGGAGAGCTGTCAACATTCATATGTTTTGTACTCGCAGACCAGGTCTTTTGCTTTCCACCATGAGGGCTTTGGATAACCTCGGATTGGATGTTCAGCAGGCCGTTATTAGCTGTTTCAATGGCTTCGCTTTAGATGTTTTCAGAGCTGAGGTATAGTTCTTTCTCAAGTACCAAGCTTCACGTGAACTCTTCCTTACTTTTATTTACAATGCTTGCCATTGATGTTTATTTGGCCATTAGCATATTATGTCCAGTGGTGTTGATTGATCCATGTAGCCAACCCTAAGGAGTGGTCGAAGAAGTTGGTTGTTGTTGTAGCACATTGAACATAAATTGTTCTTCCAATATTAACGTCCGGTGCCTACATCTGATCATATGACAAATCACAGATGTAATAAATAATATTTCGTGTTTTCCAAAATTATGTTGACAATCTTATGGTGGAGAGTTCTAGCAACTGTAAATTTATTGACCAACAGTTTAGGTTTGACTTTTTGAGCTGCCATTGATGTTAGGGCTGAATCTTTGTCAAGAAATTATCTAAAGAGATTTAAAGAAAAGCTTTGGAATTCGGATGGGGGCCTGGGATGAAATGAAAGAAATTTGACTTGGTAGCAACAGAATGGTTAGTTAAGACACACACATGGCACCTGAGTTTGAGAACCCAATCCCACTTGTGAAATACATAAGGTGTTTTCTTAGAGGAGAGGGACCACAGTTTTAGCACAAACCTTAGTTAGAAGTGTAAAGATTAGCTTAATAATGAGTAGGAAGTCTTATGAGGCTTCTCTTAGGTTGTTTGTTCTGAAGTGTGTGGCATTCAAAGTTTGAGCTCACGGATTATTAGCTTTTCACTATCTGAAGGTTTGGCTTTGATTTATCGTTTTTCTTGTTTCTTACCAGCAACGCATAGAAGGCCAGGATGTTCCCCCTGAGCAAATTAAAGCAGTGCTGTTGGATTCAGCGGGCTTTCATGGTATGATGTGATTGAAGTGCTTTATAAATGCTACCCTTATAGATGTACTAATTGTAGTTGCTGTAGCTTGCAGTTTGTAAATGCATTGCTTCTTGTTCCCATTTGTAAAGGCCTGTACAGGCCAAGATCAAATAGGTTAGCTAAATCTGTAGGTTGAGTTGTTAGCTATGATATTTTTCTCAATCTTGCTTTTGACAAGAGTGAACTTATGTTGTTAATTATAAGTGTTGGAATAAATTTTTTTATTTGTTTTATTTATTTCCCCCTCCCATTTTAGTTCCTCAATAAGTGTCTTGCCTAGTAATTTTGAATATGATGCAACTCGTTACAGTCCTCAGGGTTTGATATTTCTTCTAAAGCTGGAAAAACATCCTCCCCTAATAATGTTGGCCGTTTGAAAACAAATTAAAAAATGGGACTAATTAAACCACTAGAAGCGAGCTAATGGTGAGAGATTTGAATAGTTTATAAGATATTATTGGTTCAAATCTAAGTACTTACATTTGAACCAATGATTAACACATTGCCTAATTACTTATTTGAACCAATAATCTCTTAAAGAGGTAATTATGATTGGTATAAAAAAAAAAAATAACACTGACATAAAACATGAATACATACTATCAAATTGGTGTTTACATGGGCATTATTCGCCCAGAAGGATGGAACTTAATGCTTTTGCATCAATTATGGTGCCTTAAATGCAATTATTATACGTGATGGTTTTCCCATTCTCACTATTGACAAACTCCTTGATGAGCTTCATTGGGATAGTGTCTTTTTTATGCTAGACCTTTGCTAGGTGTATCGTCAAATTCGAATACACCCTAATGATACCAACAAGATTGTCCTCAGGACTCGTTATATTTTTTGGTCTCACCAACCCCTCGTTAATATTCCAAGTAACTATGAATTATTTTTGCTGTTTACCTTACGACACTTGGTGACTATTTTCGTTGATGATATTTTGGTCTACAAGGATTCTCTTGCAGCCCATTTTGAGCATCTACAAACAATGTTTTGTACTCTTCTTCATTCTCATATCCTTTTTGCCAAGCAAAGTAAATGTGTACTTACTAACCATACCTTTTGTAATGCTCAACCTAAGCTTGCAAAAGATTAGAGATATTGTTAAGTCGTCAATTCCAACAAATGCTCGACAAATGCATGGTTTTCTTGGACTAACTATTATTGTCGCTTTATCAAATACTACGTGGACTCCCCCTAATGCTTGATGATAATAATACACTCCAATGCTCAATAATAGTAGATTTATCTTGCGTTAAGAAAGAATGGTTTTGAGTGGAAAGTCCTCGAGCACTAGAGGCTTTCACTCATCTCAAAACCTTGTTGACACATACTCTGATTTTAGCACTCCCTGATTTCATTTCTGCAATGTTTATTATTATCTCCGTCACTAAGTGAAGGCAATATCTATTGCAGAATGAATTAATTATCTAATGCCCATATTCACACAAGAGGTTCAATCTCCAGCTTATTCCCCAAATCCCGTTTTTCCATTTACTGTGTATTCAAACTTTTCTTCTTCTACATTGAATTTATCTTCGTGCCGCTAGAGATAATTATAATTAGAGATGTAAATGGATGAGACGATTTATCAGAAATTTCTGACTTGGCTTAGTTATACTCTTTGCCACGGGTTTTTGACCCTTTTGCCCCTAATTAAATAATTAATAACCAATTTGCCCCTCCCCCAGAACTATCCACCATCCTGCCCCCATTTAGTCGATTATGTTGCACTTTTAATCGACTAAATGGGCTAAACTCAGAAATTATGAAACGCGAATTTTAGTCGACTAAAAACTCACCTTAATCGACTAAATTGTTTGCACTTTTAGTCGACTAAGCACATTATTTAGTCGACTAAATGTCGCAGATCAGGTTTTTTAAAAAACCCCCCATTTCGCAAAGGGGGTTATTTTCAAACCCTAATCGACTAAAAGGCTGCATTCCGTCCCCTCTCTCCAACCAAGTCTGAATCTCAACCCTTGAAGGTGCGATTGAAGCTTCCTTGGTTCACACTTGCGAAATCGACATTTAGGTAACGTATTCTGACTTGCATTTGGTTTTAAGTTTAGTTTTTTTTTTGGTTTTCTTCATGCATTTGATTTATGGGTTTGCGGTTTTGTGGATTTATGTTAGGGGTAGGGTGCTAAGTTTGTTGTGAGGGTGAGGGTTAGGGTTGATGTGGTGCCTTAGGCTTAGGGTTAGGGTTATGTTAGGGTTAGGGTTAGGGTTAGGGTTTACGTTGCTGTTTTGTTTGGGTTGTAGTGTTTAGGGTTAGGAATGGGTTTTTGTGTTCTGTTTTAGGGTGTAGGGTAAGGGTTAGGGTTGAGGGTTATGGTTTCTGTTTCTGTTTTAGGGTTAGGGATTGAGTTTCTGATTTCTGTTTTATTTTAGGATTAGGTTTTGTTTTTTATATTGATTTTTAAATTTTTTGATATTGTTATTGTTCATTGATTTTTGTTTCAACTTGCATTGTAGGTACAGTTGTTCCCATGGCTGGCCGTAGAAGATCGTCTAGCACTGGAAATGAGAGACGACAAAAGCTACGACAAGACCATTCGTCTTCGTCAAGGCCACAAGAGGAAGACCCCGCTGCTGTGGACCTCCCATTCGGATACTTGTTCGAGAATGACCCGGTGGTTCATGAATCTTTTGTCCGTGACTTTGTTAACCGACCGATTTGTGGGGCCAAATCACTTGATACAGCCTTTTTTGAACAAGAAGGTTTTAACATTGTGAGGTGGTTGGAGGAATCACATCTTAGGACCTTGGCTGAACTGTCGTGTTCATATTCTGAGCTGCATGTACGGGCCTTCTACCATAATCTCAGCTACCATCACGGTGGGCTGAGGTCTAGGGTTTGCGGGGTGGACATCATCATGAAGGCTCCGGTATGGTTGGAGTTACTGGGGTATGACTTTGATTCTGCGCAGACTGTGGAATATGACGCAGACAGCGGGACCATACTTCCAGGATATACACGCGGTGATGCCGTGCAGGAGCAGAGGAGAGTCCGTGGGCAACACATTGCCTATACGGTGGGGTTGCTTACTGTGGAGTCTCGCATACTACACTATGTTATCACCCACATTTTGTTTCCGCGAGCGTTCAATCATTCCAGGGTGTTGGAGCATGACATTCCCATCATGTGGGCTATCCGACATGGTACTTCGGTGAACTGGAGGCACTACGTGTGTTGGATGATGTATAAGGCCAAACACAAGGGTGCACTTCCATTTGCTTGTCTTGTTCAGAGGATATTGGAGCATTTTGATGTTCCCATGGGTAATGTGACCTTGAAGAAGACCACAGGGTATAATCATAAGTTTGGAAAATGTCTACTGGAGCAGCGCAAGATGACAAAGAACCCCCAAACAGGAGTGTGGCAGTTCACAGGTGCGGCTGATGTTGAGGTTCCTGATGTTGCTCCAGTTGTAGACATGGTTGACCCCGAGGTGGAGGATGATGATGACGATGATGATGAGGGTGACCAGCAGGAGATAGCTGAGCCTGATGGTGGGTTTTCATTACGTGATGTCATGAAGGGCATAAACGCCACGCTGAAGAAAATAGGAAAAATGGCGCTGAAACACAAAAAATGGAGGAAGAGTCACGTGCAGAAGGGAAATGAAAGATTTAGACATATACAGGGACGGTTCAAGGGTGTTGAAGATATGCTTGCTCGTCTAGAGCTTGGACGAGGACAGCAGATTGAGGATGTTGCAGGGCAGGGGGCTGATGTGTCAGATGAGGATGACGAGGAGACGGCGTCCGAGGAGGATGAGGATTAGATTTAGGGTTTATGTTTCTATTTTACGTTTCTAGTGTATGTTGTTATGTAATTGACTTCGGTCTTCCTATTTTACATTTGTAGCTTATGTAATATTATGGTTATGAAATGAACTATTTGATGTTCCCATCATGTTGTGAACCGTTTACGTAATTATTGTTGTTTTCTTGTTTACCAAATGAAGGAACAAATATCTTTTACCTTCATGTTTTCAATTTGTGTCTAATCACAGTCCAACGGGTCTAAAATGTCCAATGAAATTCAGAACAGGTGACCTTAACAGAGTTAAAATAAGAACACAAGTTTCGGATACCCTTAATTATTGCATTTATGCAGTACATGCACATTCGTGGTTTATAACCTGTACAATACTATTTTGTACCTGAAAGTGTGTTCCCCAAGTCATTATATGCGTGTACATTGATATTCGATCGGTTCCGTGCCAAAAAAAAACGTGCAAAACAGAATGGGGTGTCAAAACCAGTTATTTAGTCGAGCAACCCGTACTGGTTTAGTCGACTAAACCAGTACGGGTTGCTCGACTAAATAACTGGTTTTGACACCCCATTCTGTTTTGCACGATTTTTTTTGGCACGGAACCGATCGAATATCAATGTACACGCATATAATGACTTGGGGAACACACTTTCAGGTACAAAATAGTATTGTACAGGATTCGTATGCGATTAGGTACGTATTACCCCAAACCGTTTGTTTACGCTCCCCGAAACTTGGTGATTTCATTTTTTGGTAATATTAGTATTAGTTATGAGTTTCAATCTATCAATATGGACCAATGTTAGATAATGGACTTAGAAATGAGATGTCAAATTACATAATGAGTTAAACAGTAACACAAAGTAACATCACAATGTCTTACAAAAATTACATGAACTCTTACAAAAGACCTTAAATACATGCACAACATTGCTTCAGCTAGGATTAATCCTCATAGGACATGTACGTTTATTGTGACCAATTTGCTTGCAGGTGCTGCATCTAGTTTGACTGCTTGTGGGTTGGGACTCAACCCAATCCATTTCATTCTGTATCCTTGAAGACTTCGGTCTTCCTTGTGCACGAACCAAAGATGCATTTGGGATTAATGTTGGACCATCTATTTCTGGGATCAACAACTCATTACCCATTGGAAACCAATGTGCAGCATAGACCTTCTCAATTTGTGTAATTGAGAACACAGGATCGACATAGTCATAGTGGTTCAATTTTTCAACCTTGCACACCGCTAGCACATGACTGCAAGGAAATCGTCTAGCTGTGAACCGTCCACATTGACATTTACGATTTAGCAAGTCAACCCTCATAATGTCGCCGGCATCATGCGTAGATTGATTGTAGGCATCCTCAACTTCAAACAACTGCAAGTCTCTATCAAAAACACGGACACGGAAGCTGACAGTTAACTGATCATTCTTTTGTAAGAAGTCCTCAACCTTTTTTGCAATTCTCCAGCCTTTGTCCTTTACTTTTTGGATCTTTTCACGCCTCTTCACAAAATACTCAACAAGTCTACTTTGTGTCATCTTGACCAATGCCGTTACTGGCAAATTATGTGCACCCCGTAGGACCTTATTGATACACTCAGATAGGTTTGTCGTCATATGACCAAACCTTCGGCCCTCCTCATCATAAGATCTACACCATTTCTCTTTGGGAATCTGATCTATCCATGAGGCTACTTGTGGGTTACTGTCGACAAATTCTTGAAATCTTAAATCAAAGTGAATCTTCGAACACATGTAACCTGCAAAAAATGAACCCAAATTGCAATGAGTTATACATAAACAACATTACATACAACATGTACAAAATTCATGTAAATAGGTTACCTAGTTTCATCAGCGTTTTCTTCAGTTCCACGTCCCTAAACTTAGTGTTGAAGTTGCTTCCAATGTGACGAAGACAAAACACGTGATACACAAATGGAGGCTGCCAACCGGCATGATCCTTCACAGCCCTGATGATGCTGGGGTGACGATCGGATATTAGACAGATACCATGCCTACGTGTGACACGGAAACGCATTTGGCTAAGAAACCACAACCAATCATCCAATCTCTCACCCGGTGGAACAATGGCAAACGCAATAGGCAGAATGAATCCATCACCATCCTGTGACGTAGCAATCAAGAGGGTACCTTTGTATTTCCCGTACAGGTGCGTGCCATCAATTTGGATTATGGGTTTACAATATTTGAAAGCCTCAATGCACTGGTGAAAAGTCCAAAATACCCTGCGAAAGACAGCCTTATCGGTGTAGACTCGTCGTTCGTCACAACACTGATCCGTATCAATCTTGAACACAGAACCAGGATTTATCTGTGTCATGTAGTTCAGCCAACCAGGTAAGATGGCATATGATTTTTCCCAGTCGCCAAACAACTTCACAATGGCCTTCATTTTAGCCTTCCTATAAGATATGTTGTATCCATACAAACTTTGTACCCTCTCCTGAATAAGAACTGGTTTCGTGGATGAATCTTCTTTTAACATACCTACACAAAATTCGAAGTCAACACAATCAATAAATATACCGAAAAATTAAACCATAAACAAAAATGAATGTAATACATACTTATAATGGCTGCACAGATTACATCAGAATCCAGCTGTCTATGGTCCCGAGTAAGGCCTTGGTTTAGGCAGGTGTGTTTTTTACCCCACTTACTAACAACCCAACTATTTCCATTCTTGGGCAACATAGCCCGCACGTACCAGGGACAACCATCATTATGGTGTCGACACTTCATCACAAATCTATGGTCATCACTTTTTGCCACCACAGCAGTACGATGAGACTTCATACAATTTAATTTGACAGCATGTTGCATTTCAGATTTAGTTCGAAACTCCTGGTACAAATATAATGGATCTCCTAAATGCCAGCCACCGTGGATGTCATCGTCGCCATACAATATCTCCGTCTCATCATTAGGGTGAGCCCAATTAATGAACGAATAGTGTGGGCTGTCGTTCCAAAATGGCTCAATCTCAGACCCTACGTCCAAATTTAAACTTATCCGTCAGTACGAAAGAAAACACAAATATATATATATATATATGCAAAATTAAAACTTTATATTACAATCTTACCACTGCTAACAGGGTCAACACGGAGCGGTGACATAACCTGGGAACTCAAGTTTCCTGAACTAGTATCAGCGTCAAAATTCCCCTCTACGTCCGTATCTGAGGTGTCACCCAGCGGAATAACACTCTCGGGTTCACCATCGTCTTCACTGTCCATATCCTCGTCATGCCCATCCTCATCCTCGTCTATTTTCCTCAGTGGTATTTGACTTAAGACAGGTGCAGGTGCAGATAAACCGACCACTCTGTCTTCTTGACTTTGACTTCTTCCATGCACAGGTGCAGATAAAGATTGACCACAGTCTATTTCAACATATATCTCAATAAAGTTTTGAAATTTTCGGTCCATAATTGCATCTATGACACAATCCACATCTTCATCGTCACATATATCATTACCAATGTAGAATATAGCATTCTTACCAACTGTAGACTCTACCCTGACGATCATCCGTTGAACGCCATGGCTCCCGTGTAGCCCCAATTTTTGGTTAATCCTCCCCTTCAGCTCATTGTACGTAGTGCCCCGTTTGATTTTCAACATTTTCGTTTTTCCTTCAAATTGAACACCGTTGGGGCCTTCATAATGCTTTCCATCATAGTAAATCATGGTAACATACATGTTTGGACTTGAGCTCATCTTTCACACGAATTTTGGGGGTAGGAATCAGATTTTAGGGGTTAGGGTTCGGATTTGGGGGAAACAGTTGAGAAATAAAGGAAAATGACAATGATTTCACAATTACTATGTCTTAGAGGTGGTGGGATGAAATGGAAGGTTCCCAGCTGACAAACAAGAGAAAGAGACCAAGAGAGAAGTTTTGATTTCGAATATTTTGAAAATGAGCCCAAGAGAGGTCTGGATATAAGGTTTTTCGCGATCTTTAGTCGACTAAATAATGTGCTTAGTCGACTAAAAGTGCAAACAATTTAGTCGATTAAGGTGAGTTTTTAGTCGACTAAAATTCGCGTTTCATAATTTCTGAGTTTAGCCCATTTAGTCGATTACAAGTGCAACATAATCGACTAAATGGGGGCAGGATGGTGGATAGTTCTGGGGGAAGGGCAAATTGGTTATTAATTATTTAATTAGGGACAAAAGGGTCAAAAACCCCTTTGCCACCTCCCCAAAAATATATTTACTGGAAATTAAAATCAGATCCTTTCCCATTTAGTGAGCTTATATAGCCAACGAAGCTATATCATTGACTTTAATATCAAAATATCTTTCGTCTTTCCACTTGCTAAAAGTGTTTTTTTTTTTTTTTAAATTCCTCATGACTTGGCCTGTGCACAAAGGATATAACTTCTGATATCCAAAAAATAAAATAAAAAAGTATTCGTTTTTTTTCTGTAGATAAGTTATCTGCAGTAAGTCTAATATGATATTATTTTGGACAGAAATCATGGTATTTTTATAATTTTAATTTATTTCAAGATTATTATAGTCTTTATAATTAAATTATTTAATTTTTCAATTCCAAAACGATGTTATTTTAGAAATAAAGGTAAATAATTTATCTGTATTAACTGTACAAATATTATTTCCAATAAAAAAAAGGATGTAACTTTTTTTTTAGTACAAAGGATTTAACTTCATTTACTGTTGGAGAAAAACATTTTTCCCTCTACATAATTGCTAACAATTTACATTTTTGTAAAAAGTATTTTTTTAAGAAACCTTTTTCAACATACGGGGTTAGAATATACTTAACACCAAAAAAATACACTACATTTACAACCAACTAATCACTATTGGTTTCCGTCAATCTGACGGTTATAATTTTTTAGGAATTAATAATTATTAATAAATGCGATCTAATAATTTCTAATAAATTATAACCATTAGATTGACGAAAATTAATGATAATTAGATTAGTTGTAAATATGATAAGTTTTTTTTTTGGTAATAAGTATATCCTCCTAACTTAACATAATTATATTAAAAAAAACAATTTCTTTAACTTAAAAAAAGTTCAAACACGTGTTCCGCGTACATTACTCTTAGGGGGTGTTTGGTTGAGGAGAAATTTTTTGAATACTAGGAAAATGTAATTACTTGGGAAATGGTTGGAAAATGAGTTTGGTAGGAAAATATAAAAAAAAGTTGTTTGATTGAACGAAATATTACCAGGGAAATTTATTTAAATTTGCAAAATCTATGTTCGGGAGAAACTTCGCACCTGTTTTTTCACTTCCCCAGTTATCTCAAAATACCACATCTCAAGTGGTATTCTGTAACAATGAATTTCATCCAAAAATCAACACAAAAGTCATTTCTCCATCTATCCCATTTGTCTAGTATTTTTTTGAAAAAACCTGAACCAAACGTGGTATTCTCCAATATCCACTTACGCTTTTCCATCAATCCCAAAATAATCCTTCAACCAAACACTACCTTAACAAAAGTAATTACGATAACACGTTTTTGTCGTTAGACAAGGGAGTGTCAGAAAGAGAAGTGCCATTCCCACTCCCCAGAGCTCTCAAGTCAAAAGTCGGCGCCACGCCATCACTCTTTTTTTCCTTTTTTATTTCTATGACCGAAACCAGTGTTCCAAAACCCTAATCTTTGTGCGTTTCTCAATCCTTCGGGGTTGTTGTTCGGAACCGATTTCCTGCATTTTCAACCTCTCAACAACAACCTCTTTCTTACGAGGTATTTATTTTAAACTTCCTAAATTGCTCCGAATTTTCCCTTTTTCTGCTTAAGGTTGCTTTTGATTTATCAACATTTCTAATAGATCGAAATAAATATAATCGTTGAATCAATATAATTAAACGATAAAATTGATAAATAATAACATTATTTCGTTGTTAAAGTGTACTTCCCTTTAAATAAATAATAAAAAACAATTAGAGAGTAAAAATTATTAAATGATAAATATTAAACTAATAAAAAATGTCAAAATCTTTCTCCACGACAGGACAAAAAGTTAAAAGTTGTGCTTGTGCTTGTGATGCCCTTATGCATCAAATGCAAAAAAATAAAAATAAAAATAAATTTTTTTTTTTTTTCTTTTTCCATCTGTTTTGAGTAATCTTCAATTCATTGTAATACTGTGACTGAATGAAGTAGTGGGTAGTATTTGGGTAATAACTGATACAGATTATTGGGTGTTTTGATTTGTTTTGCGTTATTTGTTGAAATGAGTATTTTTATTGGTATAAGCATGGCCAACACGACGCAGCTTAGTTGGGTTAAGAGCACATTCCCTGTGGCTTTAAGGAGAACCTTGCATTGCCAACCTGTGTTGTTGCCACGGCGAATTGGGTTTGCAGCATCTGTTGCTCCTGTTCCCCTTGTGAGTTGTGAGAGGAAAGTTTCAAGTGGGAATGTGGCATTCAGTGTCTGTTGCAGCAAGGGATCACAAAGTGATGTACCCCAAAAGAATGAGACTGTAAGTGGAAGCTTTGCTGAAATTGAAAAGAGTTTCACGTGTGTCATGAAGTTTGGTGGTTCCTCTGTGGCCAATGCAGAGAGGATGAGAGAGGTGGCCATCCTTATTCTAAGTTTTCCGGAAGAGAGGCCTATTATTGTTCTTTCTGCCATGGGAAAGACAACTAACTTGCTTTTACTGGTATTGTATTTGCATTTTGTTTCATGTCATTTTTGTTAATGTTACTTAAGAAGCATGGTGAAAAGAAATGGGATACTTTTTTTGTCTTGCTAGGCTGGAGAAAAAGCTGTAAGTTGTGGAGTTACTAATGCCGATAGTATTGATGAGCTCAGCATTATCGAAGACCTACATCTCAGGTAAAGACAATGGATTTTACTTTTTTCTTTTCCAAGTCTAGTGAAAATGTTTTCAAAAAATAAAGGAAAATCACACTTTTTATTGACTAATAATATATTCTCTTTGTGTCACTGTGTGTCGGTATCTTATCCAGGACCATGGAGGAGCTTGGAGTGGACAGAACTGTTACTGCAAGTGAGCTACCTTCCCTTTTAAAATCATTTTTGGTTACAATTTGTAGTGGTTGTTTTGTATTCAACCTTCTTACAACTTTGACTCAACTGGAAAGTTATGTCTATGCCTTTGTGTGTTGCTCCAATAGGCTTAGGGTGTTGAACACATGTTTGAATTAATTAGTTTATTCACAATACATACTTTCATACTAGTTACTGCTTCTTTTACTCTGTAGTTTTGTATTTTCCTTTTTATTTGAGAATTATGACATCAATGTTCAAGCTTTGATGAATGTATCCTGAAGAAGTTTGCTAGTTTAAAAAGCTTACTTTGGTATGATTGCTTGATATTGAATGTGCCACGAAAGCTGATGGTGGTGGAAACACTGATCTTTTTGGGCAGCAAATACATTGTATATGCATTGCTTGAATGAGATGACATAGTATATCATAACATTGATTATTGTCATGCCATAGTTTGAGCTTGTTATGTCATACAAATGTCTCATTTTATTTTATCAACTCTTGGATTGAACCAATTCTGCAATAAGCCTTCTTTCTTATCAATATGCATCTTCAAGTAAATTTTTCTATTTTTGTACTCATATTTGCATCTGTCTCCATGTTGTGTGTGGAAACATTTCCAGAGCATCTAGAAGAATTGGAGCAACTTCTGAAGGGCATAGCTATGATGAAAGAGTTGACCCCTCGGACACAAGACTATTTGGTTTCTTTTGGAGAGTGCATGTCCACTAGGATATTTGCTGCATATCTTAACAAAATAGGTGTTAAGGCCCGACAAGTATGTTATTCTTATTTTCCTATCTAGTATCTTATACTTATTGCAACTTAAAAAGTTAGTTTTGTAATTGCTGATGAGGATAGTCCATCTCTGAATCCTGATGATAGTAACTTTTTGTTAAAATGATAATTTAATGGTCTGGCAGTATGATGCATTTGAGATTGGTTTTATAACAACTGATGACTTCACAAATGCGGACATTTTGGAAGCAACTTATCCTGCTGTTGCAAAGAGGTTACATGGTGATTGGGTCTCTGATCCTGCAATTCCAATTGTTACAGGCTTCCTTGGAAAGGTCATTGTGATGCCTTACATTTTCAATGGTCTTACTCAACCCTCCCCTTCCCCCCACTCCTGTTTTCCAGGTTTTTACATTGATAAAATGAGAAATTCTGAATTACAAACTCAATATTCTTGCAGGCCTGGAAATCAGGTGCAGTGACAACATTGGGTAGAGGGGGCAGTGATTTGACAGCTACAACAATTGGGAAAGCACTAGGGTTGCCAGAGATCCAGGTTCGCATATAAACAGTTAGGTGTGCATGGCAAAATCTTGTAAGAATGTTGATGCACTTGCTTTGCTTATCGAATGAGTTGTCAGATTTAGGTGTTGGTATTAATTCTGGTAGTAGTTGGAAATGCAAATATTTCTTTGACTTCATAACGTAAAATACTAGCATGAAATACTGCAATTTTTATGCATAATTTCTTTAGCTTCTTCTAGATTAAATGGAGATAACGAGGAAGCAGTTAATTTGAGTCCGTTAAACAGGTGTGGAAAGATGTTGATGGTGTTCTAACCTCTGATCCAAATTTATGCCCACAAGCAGAACCTGTTCCATATTTGACATTTGATGAGGCTGCTGAACTGGCATACTTTGGTGCTCAGGTATCATTGTATTCACTTATCTTCTTTTATTGACGATATGGCATATGTCATTTCTCTTATGGTTTTAAAACATTACAAATTCTAGCCTGCGTTCTTGGTTTGCTCATATCCTGCAGCACTGTCATGGGCAGCATGATTATTGGGAGCCCAATTGATATGATATGGGCCTTGGAATATCAGAGTGATCTAGTGTTTGACTTATTTCTCTGATATGCAGGTCCTGCATCCACAGTCTATGAGACCTGCTAGAGAAGGTGATATTCCTGTTAGGGTTAAAAATTCTTACAACCCTAAAGCTCCAGGTACTCTCATCACCAAGGGAAGAGATATGAGCAAGGTTTGTAGAATTGAGTCTTGGCATAAATGATAAATACTATTATCTAAAGGAGGACTTTAGACAGTGTTATGTTTTCCTATTTCCACCTGCAGGCATTATTAACTAGCATTGTTTTGAAACGTAATGTGACCATGTTGGATATTGTAAGCACACGCATGCTTGGTCAGTATGGGTTCCTTGCTAAGGTGGGAAAGTTAACACCTGCCAGACCTGTCTTCTTAGTGGTTGGATCCCTTCCCATCTTCATATTTCCATATTTATGCAGGTTTTTTCCATCTTCGAAGATTTAGGCATATCAGTTGATGTTGTAGCTACAAGTGAAGTCAGTATTTCCTTGACATTGGATCCATCAAAGCTGTGGAGCAGAGAGCTAATTCAACAGGTAAGCCATTGTGTTCCTTACTTCCATGGATTATTTTGTTGATGAATTACAATATTATTGTGAGATGGTGTCATTTGATCTAATGTAGTCTATCCCACCTGGTAAGATAGGGCATGTTCATTGTTGTAATTTCTATGTATCCCTATGTCACCACTAGATAATGTCTATCTGCTTGAGGTCACCTAATTTTACGCCTCAGTAAACAAAGGGCTGCTCAATATTTGCCCTGTGCCATGTTTTGTATCGCAGCCTTTGCCTAAATCTAATTGGTTATCATTCTTTCATCTTTAACCAGGAACTTGACTATGTTGTTGAAGAACTGGAGAAAATTGCTGTTGTAAATCTCCTAAAGAACAGATCAATAATATCTCTCATTGGAAATGTTCAGAGGTCGTCGCTAATTCTGGAGAAGGTTTTGTATCCTATTGTCTCTCTTTAGATATTGTTTTAAGATTTATTGCAAGTTTTATTTTGATGCTTCTGAGATTTAATTACTTTTTTACACTCACTATCTGGGCCTTCTGTCCCTCCCTTTTTTTATCTATCTTGGGGATACTTTTTGTTGAGAGTGCCTCTTCTACCTTGGGAGCCTTGGGGCATTGTCGAAATCAGCATATTGGAATAAATACCATGGCATAAGTTGATTCACGTCAACTTGCGTGATTATATTCTTCTGTAATCATTTGATGTTTTGCTCTTTTTTATTGACTTTAAAATTTACTGAATGGCTTATTGTAGGCCTTTCATGTTCTTCGAACTCTTGGGGTCACTGTTCAAATGATCTCTCAGGGTGCATCTAAGGTATTCACTTTATCAATTTCAGATGTTTCTTCATTATAGTTGCTATTAGGAAATTATAGCTTTTTCATTTTCAGCCACAAACAATGACTTGTATGTGTCCTTGTTGTACACTTCCGTGTTGTAAGTGATCTAAGACTTATCTTCCCTGTATACTTTGCGCGCATATTAACATGTTTTGCTTGAAAAGGAGAAGATCAAACATGTCTTGTATTAATGAGAGATAGCATGACATTTCAAGTTTTCAACACTACTTTTTTTTTTATTGCGTTGTAGACTTGGTGGTTTGTCATGTTCAGGCTTAGGGTATAAAGTTATGACAGTTATATGCAAATCATTACTCTAAAAGGTTTTCATTTTCATGTATCCTTTGTTCCTGTTTGATTTGCGCCAGGTGAATATCTCGTTAGTTGTAAATGACAGTGAAGCAGAACAGTGTGTCAGGACACTCCACAAAGCCTTCTTTGAGAGTGAGCTCTCAGAATTGGAGAATGAGTGCATATCAGGAAATGGTTCTGTTCCTGCATTATCTTAGGGAGATACTTGCAAGATCAACATGTTCTGCGTTGAGAAAAGTTTTGGTTGGAGGAATGACGATGCATCAGAATGTACTAGTCCTGTTATTGCTAGAGTAGACCTTTGTATTCTTTGGTAGTGTCCTCAAAGAGGGTAGGCCAGGTGCAAGCAATTATTCATCATATTGTTGGATACCACGTCATGCAGGAAACTAGTAGTCCATTTATCTCAGATGGATCTGAACTAGTTGAAAATGTATAGAGTTGTATTTGGAGTTGTTAAAAGGCATAAGTAGTATTCTCAATTTACAAATATTATATTTACAAATTTTTTCTTTATAAATTCTTATAAATTCAACTATTTTCGGGAATAGACTCGGTTTGAAATGTATTCTCGAAAATATATAGTATAATTTGAAAATAAGAAGTTTGTAAATATAACATGTTTTTATTGCTATTATATTCATATTTGTGCTAGAGACCACCAAGCACATGGATCAATTAGCATGAGATTGTTCCGACTTAATTAATGGTCTCGAATTCGAATATTGAATATACAGTTGTGTTAAAAATTTGATCTTGTCTGGTTTGATCTGATTAATTAATTAATTGATAAATCGGTAGAAAAATTAAAAAAAAAAATTTGTGTTGGAGTCTTGTTTGGTGATAAGAGTTCGCATACTTGATTTTAGTTTTACAAAATTGATTTCGGTTAAATGTGGGTTTAAAATGATGTGATTTTAGTTTAGATACTTATATGTGAAAAGTGATTTTGACATAATGATTATTGTTCAGATAATATTAATTAAAAAAAATTACTTTTGAATGAGAAATTATCTGGATATAATTTTATATAATTTTATTGAAAAGTTGTTAGACATGGGAAAAAGGTCTAAAAATTGTTGGAAAAAAAAGGGGGATAATGGTAGAATAATATAAAGTAAGCATAACGGTAAAATAGCATTACTTTCCTTTGATTCCCCCCCTTTTTAAATTGTGAAACAAGAATATCTTAATTTAATTCCCTTTTTTTTGTGGACAAATTTAATTCCCTTTTAAATTGGACTTTCAAAGAGTCGAGGAACGGGTTGAATTGGTCCGGATAAACCAATCTCGAGTTTGAACTTTTTTATTTTTAAATCAGGAATATGTTATTTTACATATTCTTAATTTGTCTACCTTTGCCTACTTCTCTCGATACAGTTAGATTATAAATTCATTTAACAAAGGAGATTTGCAAGATAAAATAAATCCTTCTATTCATTTCTTTTCTCTCACCCTTTCTCTCTCCTCTCACCCTTTTTCTCTATCGACGAAGACAGATGCAGGTAGAGAAGCACGTAGGATTGAAATCCCTTGTGAGTTTGAATTAGTTTTTTGTTCACTCTATTTGTTATGACTCTTGTAAAATAGTTTTGTTGAACGTGATTGATGCCCAAGATGCCAATAGTATGGTAGTGATTCGAATACCAAATCCCTAACTTTCACTCTCTTCAATACGTTTCAATAACTAAAATTGTACGAACGTCATTACACTTCAGCAATAGTATGACTGAGAAAGGGCCAAATAATTTTTGTTGGAAACAATTCTTGCATTTTGCTGACAAACAGAGGTTTATTTCAGAAGTTCTAATAACAAACATAAAACCTTGTTGAGAGTTTTAATTCATCCTATGTCTTCGTCGATAGAGAGTGAGAAAGGCTGGGAGGAGAGAAAAATGATGGAGATAGTGAGGGGAAAGAAAGGGGTAAAATAGTTTATTTTATCTCCTTAAATCTCCACCGTTAGATGAGATTATAATCTAACAATGTTGAAAGAGGTTGGCAAAATACTTTTTAAGATGGAATATTATTACTACTAATTAGTGTTACTACTAATGTTACTACTACTTTATTTCATTGTTAGATCGATTACGTTGATCCAACAATTATGGTTTAACTTTTTAAAAATATTTTTTCTTCTCCCTATATTTAATATTTTATAGGAAAAGTGTTTGTCATTTTAAATGACATTAAGTTATGTCATTTTAAGAGACAGACAGACACAAAAAAAATATTTTTTTATTTAAAATTTAAATTAAAAAAAACCACCCACTTTCTCTCCCATAATTTTCATTCTTTGTGTCTATCTCTCTCTTAAAATAACATAACTTATGTCATTTAAAGTGACAAACACCAAACCCATATTTTGTATTTATTTCTAAATTTGTATGGTTAGGATTTCCTATATTTAATGTTTTCACATTAAATATGGAGAATCATAACCGTACAAAGGTGAAAATGAATATAATTGTTGGATCAACATAATTGATTTAACGATAAAACAAAATGGTAATATGACATTGGAAGTAATACTAATTGATCTAGTAATAATGTCCTATCTCATACTATTTTAAGGTTGTTAACTTATAAAAGTTATGAAGTTCACATGAGGACGGTTATTATTTAGTAATTTATTATTAATTTTTATCTTACAAGACATTTAATATAGTTTTTTTATGTTAATTTATAATTTTTCTTTTAATTTCTTAAATTTCATTTTAGTTTATTATTTGATAAATCATATAGTTTAAGAATTATTTAATTATCACCGAATTAACTACGTTTTAATCACGGTCCAAACCATTGAATCGAAAATCAACACTTTCGGCGGTTTTCAATAATCTATTAATTTTTAAAACATTGATAATTTCTATTACATAAACATTCATAAAATCAAGGGGATATTAATTTAAAAATAAAATTGATATTGACTATAGGTGGTGTTTGGTTTGGGTCTTTTCAACATTTCCCCATCTATATGAAGTAAGGTTTTTAGGAAGGCAACGTTTGTTTGAACAGATTTTCTTCAAATCCCCATTTATATAATTTGCATAGCTTTCCCAACTGAACCACCGAATTCCACTAATCTGCATTGTTTAGAAAGCAAAATTGAGGGTGGGTTTTTATGAAAACCCGGGTATGCACTCTCCACCACCTCCTCCTCCTTCCTTTCATGTGGATTCTCTTATCCAACATCTCCAACACCTCTCTTCTGCTCCCATCACCACTCATTCCCTCACACTTGTGCCTCCAATTCATGATGACAGGACCCATTTCAATTCTCTCTGAAATTCTCTTGATTCAACTGAACCACTGCTACCCACTTCAGCTTCTGCCACCAGAATTGATTATGATCAACTTGAGGAGGCAAAGTTTGGATTTTTATCAGCCAGAGGTAAGTTGATGCTCAATTCAATTGTTGGGTCACCTTTGCATAGTTTGAATGATTTCTTCAACTTTGCCAAATTTGAATTGCTTGAAGTTGATATTCCCAACCTTTCTGGCAACTGGGAAAGAGCCCTTTTGTTATTTGAATGTGTTTGGTTGCACTTTGGGTCTGAAAATATGAAGGTGGACAATCAGGTTGTTGAGATTATGGTTAGAATATTGGGGAGAGAATCACAGCATTCTATTGCATCCAAGTTGTTTGATTTAATTCCTGTTGAAGAATACTCACTTCATATCCGGACAATCAGGACGTTGCGTTTTATTCGTTGGATGACAAATGGAGGATATTTGTATTGGGGTTATATTTGTCATTTCATACTATTTACCCATCCAAATTTTATCATAAACCAAACATAGGTTTTATACTTTTTCATAAATTTTCCTGGTAATATTTCGTCAAACCAAACTACTTTTTTTTTAATTTTCCTATCTATCTCACTTTATCTCACTTTCTTACCATTTCCCTATCAATTCTATTTCTCTAGTATTTCAAAAATTTCTCCTCAACCAAACGCCCCCATAGTTACTTTTGTGCATTTCACTGGTAAAGTGTAATTCAACAGGTACTTCTCCTGATTTTTAGTGATAACCATAGTTCTGTTTCTTATTAGTTTAATTCTTTATAATAATTAATTTATTCATATTTATTTAATGGTGAGATTTCCTATTTTATTTCTGTTATGGAATATTTTCACATCCTAACCACCTACCCAAGGATCCCTTAAAGGACAATTCTCCAATTATGTTAACAATATAAAACAGTAAGGCAACTTAGGATAGAGTCCATATCCCAACAGAAAGGAAGTTAAATCCTACTACAACTGGGAGATCTACACAAGCCCAAGAGGTAACCCTTATAAATAAGAGATTAAAGACCCCAGGTATGCACCCTGAACTCATTTACTACTTCTGCCCACACTGTGCACACACCCACGTCTCGGCTATAAGCCTATTGCTTGTGCGCAGTGATGAGGATATTGGCTATAAGTCAACCAAGATACCTATCTATAGGATATCTCTGAGCGCATACCCTTGAGGTATCATTATACGGTTTAATAGAATCAAACATTGGCGCCGTCTGTGGGAAACCGTAAAGTTCGATTCCCACCCAACTATAGCAGCGAGCACGCAGAGCACAGCCTCAGCTTTGAGCTTCAACTCAGCCCAACAAAGGGCTTCAAAATTATTAGCTCAGCCTCGACCTTGAGCTCAGCCCAACAAATGACTTCAATATTAAAAGCTCACCCTCAGCTTTGAGCTTCAACTCAGCCCAACAAAGGGCTTCAAAATTATTAACTCGGCCTCGGCCTTGAGCTCTGCCCAACAAAGGGCTTCAAGTTTAAAAGCTCGGCCTCAGCCTTGAGCTTCAACTCAGCCCAACAAAGGGCTTCAAAATTATCAGCTCGGCCTTGGCCTTGAGCTCAGCCCAACGAAGGGCTTCAAGATTAAAAGCTTGACATCAGCCTTGAGCTTCAACTCAGCCCAACTAAGGGCTTTAAATTTATTAGCTCGACCTCGGTCTTGAGCTCAGCCCAACTAAGGGCTTCAAAATTATTAGCTCGGCATCGGCCTTGAGCTCAGCCCAACAAAGGGCTTCAATATTAAAAGCTCAGCCTCAGCTTTGAGCTTCAACTCAGCCCAACAAAGGGCTTCAAAATTATTAGCTCAGCCTCGACCTTGAGCTCAGCCCAACAAATGGCTTCAATATTAAAAGCTCACCCTCAGCTTTGAGCTTCAACTCAGCCCAACAAAGGGCTTCAAAATTATTATCTCGGCCTCGGCCTTGAGCTTAGCCCAACAAAGGGCTTCAAGTTTAAAAGCTCGGCCTCAGCCTTGAGCTTCAACTCAGCCCAACAAAGGGCTTCAAAATTATCAGCTCGGCCTCGGCCTTGAGCTCAGCCCAACGAATGGCTTCAAGTTTAAAAGCTCGGCCTCAGCCTTGAGCTCAACCCAACGAAGGGCTTCAAGATTAAAAGCTTGGCATCAGCCTTGAGCTTCAACTCAGCCTAACGAAGGGCTATAAATTTATTAGCTCGACCTCGGTCTTGAGCTCAGCCCAACTAAGGGCTTCAAAATTATTAGCCCGGCCTCGCCCTTGAGCTCAGCCCAACAAAAGGCTTCAATATTAAAAGTTCAGCCTCAGCTTTGAGCTTCAACTCAGTCCAACAAAAGGCTTCAAAATTATTAGCTCAGCCTCGGCCTTGAGCTCAGCCCAACAAAGGGCTTCAATATTAAAAGCTCAGCCTCAGCTTTGAGCTTGAACTCAGCCCAACAAAGGGCTTCAAAATTATTAGCTCGGCCTCGAGCTCAGCCCAACAAAGGGCTTCAAGTTTAAAAGCTCGGCCTCAGCCTTGAGCTTCAACTCAGCCCAACTGAGGGCTTAAATTTATTAGCTCGGCCTTGAGCTCAGCCCAACTAAGGGCTTCAAATTTATTAGCTCGGCCTCGGCCTTGAGCTCAGCCCAACGAAGGACTTCAAGTTTAAAAGCTTGGCCTCAGCCTTGAGCTTTAACTCAGCCCAACAAAGGGCTTCAAAATTGTTAACTCGGCCTCGACCTTGAGCTCAGCCCAACAAAGGGCTTCAAATTTATTAGCTCGGCCTCGGCCTTGAGCTCAGCCCAACAAAGGACTTCAAGTTTAAAAGCTTGGCCTCAGCCTTGGGCTTTAACTCAGCCCAACAAAGGGCTTCAAAATTATTAGTTCGGCCTCGACCTTGAGCTCAGCCCAATAAAGGGCTTCAAATTTTAAAAGCTCGACCTCAGCCTTGAGCTTAGACTCAGCCCAACAAAGGGCTTCAAATTTATTAGCTCGGCCTCGGCCTTGAGCTCAGCCCAACGAAGGGCTTCATGTTTAAAACCTCGGCCTTAGCCTTGAGCTCCAACTCAGTCCAGTGAAGGGCTTTAAATTCATTAAAAGCTCAGTCTCAGCCTTGAGCTTCAACTAAGCCCAACAAAGGGCTTTAAAATTAAAAGCTCGGCCTTAGCCTTGAGCTCCAATTCAACCCAATGAAAGGCTTAAAGATTAAAGCTCGGCCTCAGCCTTGAGCTTCAACTCAGCTTAAGCCATATCTTCAGGCTCCGAGGTCAAAATGAAGACAGAAAAGGAGAGATGTGATCTTAAGAAAAGTATCACACCCCAATCTGAGATAAAAATGGAGACGAAATTGGAGAGTTGTGATCCTAGAAAAAGGATCACACCCCAATCCGAGAAGACGAATTTGGAGAGATCGTGATCCTAGAAAAGGATCACACCCCAATTTAAGATAAAAGACAAATCGAGACGGTATGCGAAGCCGGGCTCAAACAAAATATGGCAAAAAGTCTAGAAAAACAACGGTACGTTAAGCCGGGCTAAAATCAGAAAGGCAAATATACTGCCTTCAAAAGTGTAGGTAAGGCAAAAACCAAGTCAATTTAAAGAAAGCCACGATATAAGAAGCCGAGCTCAAAGTCAAAAAAAGGCAAATACCACCTCACCACTCAGAGACTTCAAGAGAAGAAAAGCTAATATAAAAAGCTAAACCCAGAAGAGGTAGTCACACCAGACCCAAGGCAGGATCAGAGTACCTCGGTAGGGTCGACTTATCAATCTAACTTAGGCACCCCAGCAGTCCGAGCTTCCGAACTGCCGGGCTGGGGGCAACTGTTATGGAATATTTCCACATCCTAACCACCTACCCAAGGATCCCTTAAAGAATAATTCTCCAATTATCCTAACAATATAAAACAGTAAGGCAGCTTAGGATAGAGTCCCTATCCCAACAGAAAGGAAGTTAAATCCTACTACAACTGGGAGATCTACACAAGCCCAAGAGGTAACCCTTATAAATAAGAGGTTAAAGACCCCAAGTATACACTCTGAACTCATTTACTACTTCTGCCCACACTGTGCACACACTCACGTCTCAGCTATAAGCCTATTGCTTGTGTGCAGTGATAGGGATATTGGCTATAAGTCAACCAAGATACCTATCCATAGGATATCTCTGAGCGCATACCCTTGAGGTATCATTATACGGTTTAATAGAACTGAACAATTTCTATAATTTCATGCTAAATTCAGTTTAGTTTATATAATTTAGAATCAGTCACAAATGCAAAATTTTCATCATTATGTGCTAAACATATATGTAGGATATTATGCGATAAATATAAATATTCAGAGATACAATGGCATAGGCACTATATATATAATATACTCGCATAAATAATCAAATATAAATTATCAAATTTCTTATGACTAATCTATGAAGCACTGACACTTCAAAAATTCTAATGTGTCGTGTCCGACACTCCGACACTCCCCGACACTTCAACACGCGTTATAGAAATTCAAAAAAAGGTTTAAAGGTTTCGTTGTGTTGAGCTTTTAGTTCCAACTATTAGATTCGTTGGATTACGATTACCATTTTATTGAGTTTAATACAAATATTCAGGATATCTTATGTTTCTTTGCAAAATTGATGAATATTATAAGTTTAGTTTTATTTTTTTGTTGAATTATTGAATATTAAATATAATATACATTACATAAATTAAAAATATTATTTAATATCAAAACGTGTCCTAACGTGTCAAAATTTAATATTTTTTAGAATTAACGTGTCGGAGTGTCGTGTCGTATCGTGTCACGTGTCCCGTGTCCCGTGTGAGTATCGGTGCTACATAGTCACTAATCCACTCTTAATGATTTTAATAATATAAATTTTGTTGATGATTCATTCATTTTATTCTCCTTTAAGATAACAGATTCTGATTACAAAAAAAGCTAAAGTTATATAAATAACACTTTAAACGTGAAAATTAATGATGATTTCTACATTTTCTTGATTTAATTCTAAATTTATGTAAACATTATATAATTTTTAATAATTTTATTTCGCAAATAGGTTTTTAATTTCAAGACGAAACGGTCATTAAATTATGAGAAATCATTATCTCCTTCTACGTGAGATAAGAATTTTTTCCTACACAAATTCGTTTTCCGTGCCAATTAATTTTTCTTTTCTTTTTTAATTTAAAATGTGAGACTCACATTTAACTTATCTCTACTTTTTTTTCTCTCCTACCAACATAAGAAAATATGCGCTCTTAAATTATTAAGAGAAAGCCTTATTCGTCAAATAACCAACTTGTGAGTATGTGAGAATCCTTAAGCTATATAAACCCTAAAAGGTGCTAGGGTTTCGGATCTGCTCTCTTCACACACCACAGCAATGGCGTGCACGATAGATTTTCGGTGTCTGGACGAGGGTTTCGGTGGCAAAACCTACAAGCGCAAAAGAGAACAAGCTGAAGCACACAACATCACCGGTGACGGCAATGAAAACGAAGGAACCGCTTCCATGGACACCGACGACGCTCTACCTCCGCCGGCGAAGAGATCGGCGCTACCGTCGTCAGACGATCCAGACAAGCCGGTGTTCGGGAGGCCGAGCTACGACGGCGTGATCGCCGGGAGGGTTTCCGGTCGGAAGTGGAAGCAGGTGAGGAAGCAGAGGGCGTCGGCGGTTCAGGTGAGCCGGAAGGGAACGACGTTTGAGCAGAGAGGGAGGGAGAAGATGATAAAGAAGGCGTATAAGGAAAGGATGACGGAGTTGAAGGAGGAGATTCGGATGAATAAGGTTGAGAAGAGGAAGAAGAGGGAAGAGAGGGAAAAGAAGAAGAAAGAGAATATTCTGAGATCTGGCACCAAGTTCCAGAAGATTACAAACCCTAACACTTTGAAGAGGATTGCTAAGTCTAAGCAGAGGAAGCAGCTTAGAGTTGTTCCTGATGATCTACTTAAGAAGTAGAATGTTTTTTTTTTATTGCTTTTTGTTTTTCTCAATGGATAATTTTGGATGTATTGAAAGAAATTTTGTAATATTTGAGATTTTAGTTGATGCTTTGAATGCAAGATCTGTGGTGTGAATTGTTGTTTTTGTGCTCCTTAGGTTTCAGTCAGTGGTTGAAACCACTATAATCCAAGCTGTTTTAATGGCCTATACTATAACATGTTTAAACTCTGAAGTGTTCTAATTGTGTTAGAATTAATTGCGTGTAAAAAACAGTATGTTGTAAATTTAACACCCGCATTCTAATTTCGTTTCATTTGTTTATAGGCTTTATTGATTAATTGTAGGGTTTAGGTCATCTGCACATGCTCTATGTTTTTGCATAGGTCTTGTGAAACACTTATAAAACTTTGTTTACATATCTGTTTGCTGGGTGTTGTCATGCTCTTCTCGTGTTTGGTTTGTTAACCAACACTGTTGTCACTTTTAAAATTAGCATTCTTATTTTTGCACATTACTGAATTGATGAATCTTAGAAGGAAAAATGATTATGAATGTCAGGAAGCTATGCTGATTCTTTATACTTGAGCTTATGATAAACTTGTGTTACCAATCATGTGTATGTTGCAAAAATGAAAGATCGGGGCTTAGAAGTTAGAATTGCATTTTAGGAATTCGGGTTTTTTAGTGTCTGAAGGAAGTTTGAGTCTATAGTTGGACTTTCATGTCATTTGTGGAGTAAGTATTGTGTAATTTGAGAAAAAGGTAACAGGGCTAATGGGCTATGGCGCATTTCACAAATTGTATAATGATCGCAAGTTCTTGTGAGTGACCAGGAGGTTTATTTTCTGGTATTTGCACCTGGAATTTCTTATAATATAATTTTCATTTCTATAACTGGATAAAACAACATAAGGCGAGGGTTCTGTTTTTTACCACTGCAAATGAACACTAACTTGTCACTCAAACAAGAGTGGTTCTGAATAGAGGAGAGAGAGAGAGTGAGAGAGAGGAAGCGGTTGTGACTTCTTTGCAACTAAGATGTTAAGCATATGTTCTAAGCAAATCAAACTTTGTGAGCAAGAACCACATATCATCAACTTCTATGCAGAGGGAAAATACCGGTATTCTAATTTTTTCCACCACTTAATTTAGATTTTTGCAAGACACCAATATTATTGTTTTATATGGTATTCGTCCATATTAATATTGTTCAGTTTTCTTTAGTCTCTACCTAATGATAGAGGAAGTAATTAATAGGCCATGGAGACCAATTGCAAACGCTGGTTCTGTGAAATCTTCAATGATCCAGCACCAAAACGCATGTCAATATTTTTGTGTGTAACTTTGAATTTCCCACGAATTTAGTTATCTTTCATTTCTTTCTGATTACAAAAGGTGTCTGCATAGAAATGTTCCGAGAAATTCAGTTTAGCTAGATATTACAACTTCCAAGGGTTCCAATACCAATTTGTGTTAGAATTAATTGTACGTAAAGAACAATATATCTTTCTGTTTGGCCTGTAGAAGTTTGGTATAAATAATGTTACAAACGAAGATAGAAAGTTAGATATGTGTGTGAATTGACCTTGGAAAACTCGTTGCCAAGTTTTTTCTGCTCTTTTTAAGAGAAATTGATGGTTTTATCCAAAGAACAAAGCCTACCAGTAGTCCCTACAGGAGCAAAATCCATCTCTGAAATGATGGAACCTACTTGAATCTCTGACTGTGATTTCCCGATCAACTATCTTGGAGATCACCTTGATGGCGGCGTGACAATCAGTACAAGCTCGTAGGTTCTTCATTACCAATATAGGTGACCCTTTTGGGGTGCTAATTAGTGCAAAAGCAATGGCAATGCGTTCACTGTGATATTTAAGGGACTCTACCTTGACTTCCTCATCCACATTGTGAAGGGCACAACTTGAGTCAGGTTTATACCCTTGTTTCTGCATTTGTTCCTCCAGTTCATCAATCTTCTTCATTATCTCTCTCATTTGTGGGTGAGACATGTCGTTGGCTGAGAAAACATGAGTCTTGTGCTTGATTTCAACCCAACTATAAGCTGGGACCTTTCTAACACCTCGGTCTCTCATGGCCTTCTTCACCTTCCCCACATTGTCCCATTCACCAGCTGCTGCATAGATATTGGACATGCTAATATATGGAGCAGCATCTCTAAGAACCTTCATATTGAATAGTTGGTCTGCTGCTTTCTTTGCTAACTCTTGATTTTTATGGATTCTACATGAGTTGAGAATTGATGACCACATTATTTCATCAGGTTCAAATGGCATCCGAGCCATCAATTTCTCAGCCTCCTCAAATCTTCCACTGCGACATAACATATCAACCATTGATGCATAGTGCTCTCTTTTAGGAACAAGTTCATAAATTTGAGTCATGGAGTTGAAGTACTGTAATCCTTCTTCAACTAGACCACAGTGGCTGCAGGCACATAACACGCTAAGGAAGCTAACAGAATTTGGTTGCAAACCTGAACGAACCATTTGTTCAAATGATCCAAGAGTATGCTCACCGTCTCCATTTTGTGCATAAGCTGAAATCAGTGCATTCCAGGAGACTGAATTCCTCACGGGCATCTCTTGAAACATTTGAAGTGCATCTTTTATGGATCCACATTTTGCATACATGTCAAGCAATGAACTCCCAGAAAATACATTTGAAATGTATCCTGATCTGACTATATGTGAGTGTAACTGTTTTCCTAGTGTCATTGAGGCTAAATTTGCACAGGCTCTTACAATGCTGGCATAAGTGGCTGCATCAGCATTTATTTTGGATCTTTGCATCTCAATGAATAGCTTTAGGCCATCTTCATGGAGTCCCTTCTGAACATAAGCAGAGATCAGGGCTGTCCATGGAACTGAACTTTGATGAGCCAGATTTGCAAAAATCCTATTTGCTTCACAAAATTTGTCACATTTAGCATACATGTCGACCAAAGAATTTCCAACCAGGATTTCTGAAATGGCACCTGTTACAATAGCCTGGGAATGAATTTGCCTACCCATTTCCAGGTTTAAAGCAGTTGCAGCTATGCTCAACAGTGTAGCAAATGGGAATTGCCTCCTGTCAAATCTAGTAAACTGTAATTCCATGAAAAGTTCAAGAGATTCTTTGATTCTTCCATTCCATGCATAACACGTGATGAGCACATTGTAAGAGATACCATCTAACTCTGGCATCTCAACAAAAAGTTTCCTTGCCTCAACAACATGGTCATGCTTGGAGTAGAAATCAAGCAAAGCATTAGCCACAAACACATTCCACACAAAATTGGTCTTCACTACAAGACTGTGAACTTGTTGCCCAAATTCTATATCATCCAACTGTATGCCCGCATTTAAAACTGCAGCAAAAGTGAATTCCGTGGGCCTAAACCCCAAATCCTGCATTTTGAAAAACAGGTTTATGGCCTCATGATTGAACCCCTCTTTGGAGTATCCCGTCAACAATGCATTAAAAGTGACAGAATCTTTCTCAGGCATATGCTTGAAGAGGTGACAAGCTAAACTGAGGCTACGGGTTTTACAGTAAGAATCAAGCAATGAGTTGCAAACCATGAGGGTCGAATCATAACCCAATTTGATAACATGGACGTGAACTTGGGTTACTTCATTGACAGAGTCAAACTCAGTGAACCCAGATAAGAGAGTGGCCAAGGTAACATAATCCGGATCAGTCCCATGCCTACACATCTGAGCAAAAAGATCAAAAGCTTCGGGAAACCGATTGTTCTGAGCATAACCACCAATCAGCATTGTCCAGGTAACAGCCGTGCGTTCAACCGTGCTGTCAAACAAGTTACTAGCATTGGAAAGATTGCCAGATTTTATGTAACCCATGATCATCATGTTCAAGGTGATAGTGTTCTTGTGGAGCATTTCGTCAAATAGTTTGCGGGCACCGCACAAATCCCCACGTTGGAGACAGTTCTTCACCTTGAAATTGGAACGACATGTGCTGGGATCGAAGCCTGTCTTGATGATCCAAGCGTCGACCTCGAGGTGCGGTTTTGGAGACCTGGATGCACCCAAAGTGAGAAGGTTTTGGACCGTGATTTTCCTCGTACATGGTTTTACACAATTCATGGAAACGGAAAATTGTGTCTAAGGAACCTCGTTTTTGGCGCCAAAATGTGAACCGTTATAAAGGGGGGCTGGAATTACAAAGATGTTGCAAAACGGGTTTTACCCATCGGGTCAACCCATCTAACCCGATTAATTTCGCGAGTTGGGCTACATTTTTTAACCCATCACGCTTAAGAGTTAAAGCATGTTGGGATAGGTGAACCTGATGAATTGAGTTTTTATTTTATTTTTATTTTTTTAAAGTTTAATTAGATAATTTAAGTGAAATATTTCATTTTTTTCTAAAAAATTTCACTAACTCTCTCTTTTGGTTTATTTATTTATTTATTATAAGCAAGTTGACTCACCAACTTGATCATAAAATGAAAAAGGTTGACATTTTTAACTCACTTTTAAAAATGAGGTGGTTGTATTAACCCATTTTATGGCGAGTCGAAGACAAACAGATATGATTACCTTGGGGTAGTGTTTGGTTGAAGGTTTATTTTAGGATTGATGGGAAAGTGTAGGTGGATATTAAAAAATATCACGTTTGGTTCAGATTTTTTCAAGAAATACCAGACAAATAGGATAGATGGGAATTGTGTTGATTTTTGGATGAAATTCACTGTTACAGAATACCACTTGAGATGTGGTATTTTGAGATGACTGGGGAAGTGAAAAAACAGGTGCAAAGTTTCTCCCGAACATAGATTTTGCATACTTAAATAAATTTTCCTGGTAATATTTGGGTTAACCAAACAACTTTTTTTACATTTTCCTATCAAACTCACTTTCCAACCATTTTCCTATCAATTACATTTTCCTAGTAAAAAAAAATTTCTCCCGAACCAAACACTACCTGCGAGTGTTTGATAGAGGAATTATTCTCAGATATCTAGAAAAGTGAGGATGGATTTCCAAGAAGATTATGTTTGATAGCACATTTTAAAATATTTTTCCGAGAAAGTGATTTTTCCAGTATTCCTGGGTAGTATTCTTGAAATCCTAGGTGGTGGGAAAATGTCACACAGTTTTTTGGACAGAGACATTTCAGTTTCTATGGTCAGGGTCATCTTGCTAATGAAATCTCGGCAAGAAATGGAGACCCACAAACCAGGTCTTTTTGTTACATCTTGTCATACCCAAGACCAACATGTTAAATATCTCGCGACTATACATAAAAAATAAACCATAATTCAATTCGTTGTGTTGGTTTAGCTTCTTGTCATACCAGGAATCACTTGTTGCTGGTTTTGATTTAGGTTTCGTTGTGTTGGTTTTGTTGCTCTTTATGGTCGGTATGCGGCTATAACGGGAATTGCTCTGAATCGTCGTTGAATATTCTTGTTGGGTTATGGATTTATTGTTGTGGATTGAAGAAGGGTCTATTGGGTTGTTGATTTGGGGGTTCCACAATGGATCGAGGATGGTGGTAGTGGAAGGGTTCAGTTCGGTGAGCATGCTTTGAACCCATGTAAATCGGTGACATAGCCAAGGAACAAAGCTATTCAGAAAATTGAAATCTGTAAATCGTGTTAATTGGAATCTTCAATTGCTGCAATGGGTTTGAGGTTATTTTTGTAAATTACTCCACATTCTAAAAAATATTCGATAATCAACCAAATATAAAATTAGTAAACTTGAGCCAATATTCTTAGTAATATTTTAACTTCTCAAACAATTTTTTTGTCATATTCTCGGGAAATTTATTTTTCTAACATATTTCTAGTAATTAATTATGATTTTGGGCATAAATTTTTTGAGTTTTATTAATCTAATGTTAAAGGAGATAAATTATCTCATGTCATAGAGATAAATTTGTGGGCTCCACCATCTGAAAAAAAAAAATAAAAAAAAAGTGATACAGTTATCGAAAAAGAAAAATTTATCATATATAGCATAAGAGTAGTTTTTTCCAAAAAATTTTTTGGGTGTATCAAACTCCCCCTAATTGAAATGTTATACTTATACACCACTTTTTCTCTTGTTAGTGAGTATCAATATTTAAAAAATCAAATCTAAAATTAAAACGGGCGAAACTTTTGATTGATTCGATTAGTTAAATTAATTGTCAAATCATAATTAAATCAAATAATATAATAAGAAAATTAAATCAGAAACATGATTAATTCATCAATTGACCGATAAAATTAAGTAATTTGATTCAATTTTTAAAATATTAATCAATATTTTTAGTAAATAAAATATATATTATTTATCGGATAATAATAATAGAAGAATATATTTATAACCTATTTATAATCTCTCTCATAATAATAATAATAATAATTTTGTCAATTAGTATTTATTGCATGGTTGAATTACATGTAAGCGAACTTTATTTATATTACAAGAGTTTAAATTTCTCTAAAGACAATTGTGGGTCGGGCGCACTTGTATTTGTAAAATGATTTTTTTTTTCATCCATGAATTCTTTTTCTATATGATATTATTATGGCTTGCAGCATGTTTGAAAAACACATATTTTAAAAAGTCATTTTTTTAAAAAAAAAATATTAAATCTTTTTAACCTTAAAATAAGTAAATTTAAATACACACAATTATATACATTTTTTTATAATTCTAATTACCTCTTTGAGACGAGTCGACACCCGGTTATGTTCACAAATTTGAACTCTTTGAGTTAATTATAGAACTAATCGTAGGGAAAAATTCATTATTTATTTGAAAAAAATACTAAATTTTTTTTAACCTTAAAATAAATTAATTTAAATACACACACACATATACTTTTTTTTATCTTTTGGGGCGAGTCGGTTCAGGTATTTCTACAAATTTTAATTCTTTGAACTAATTATGGAACTAATTCGGAGTCGGGACTTAGTCACATTTAAATCTTCTCATCTCTTCCAAAATTGTATTTGATGGGAATCACGCATTTATATACATTAATTTACATAAGTATAACAGATATAGTTTCTCAATGTTAAGATATCTTAAATGTTTTTTTTTTTTTTTTTTTTTGTAACAAGATATCTTAAATGTTTTAAACGCTCATGAAAATGGAAAATCCAATAAAGTTGGTATTTAAACTTGGAAAGTTGGTATTTAAACTTGGAAAGCTGGTATGTGAGGCTAACTTCTTCAGGCCATGCTTCTATTCAATCTAAGGAAACCTGCATCTGACTTTGGGTAGGAAGAAGCCAAGAATGCATATAAAAATATGACTTATAACTTCATCTGCTAATTCTTGAGGTTACCATTATATAATTCATAAGATTAAGAGACAAAATAAAAGTCAAAACAGAAGCACTAAGCATAAAAGACATGAGAGAATCTATTCTAATTTTTTTTAGTAAGAATCACTGAATGAATGTTAATTATAATAAGCACTACTTCAACTCAAAATCTTAAAGTATTGGTGAAATTTAATTAATTATTTTATATCTTTTGTATTTCTACAAACATCATCTCACTCAAGAGTCCTTTAGACTTGAAATATAGATATGACACATATCCGCTTTTTTGTTTATCTTGTACTGCACATGTTCATTTTTTGATTTACTTTATGTTTTTCTTCATTCCATCTGAAAGTGGTAGTGAGAATCGAATTATAAGTACTTCTTCAACTCAAAACCTTAAAATATTGGGTAAAACTTAATTAATTATTTTGTATCATCTCCCACAAACTAAGTCTTTTCAGAATTAAAATGACGCGCGCCATCAAATAAGTGCTCTTTTTCTTCGTATTTTATTTTCAAATTAGTCAATAAGAGAGGGCAGAAGCTTCCAAATATATTGTGCATTATTATTGTAAAATTTATAGCGAAAAAGAAACTTGATGCACACTGAGATCATATTCTATACTATGTACAACCAACACTACAATTACTATGTAAACTTAACATCGACAACGTAGTAGTCATGGCAAAAAGATCAGGGTTTTCCCTTTCTTCTAGTAGACACCCTTCTGATACTCTTGCTCACAGAAAATTCCTCCAAGATCATCACAAGCCTCTGCACGGAAAACCCTGAAAAACACATCCATATAACTTGATGCACACTGAGATCATATTCTATACTATGTACAACCAACACTACAATTACTATGTAAACTTAACATCGACAACGTAGTAGTCATGGCAAAAAGATCAGGGTTTTCCCTTTCTTCTAGTAGACACCCTTCTGATACTCTTGCTCACAGAAAATTCCTCCAAGATCATCACAAGCCTCTGCACGGAAAACCCTGAAAAACACATCCATATAAGATTATAATGCTCTGATACCATGTAAAGAACCTTGAGATACACCACTCCAAAAGATAGCTCAAAGGTTGGGAGTGCCCAAGACCTTATAAACTCCACATTAGTTGCACATACAACCAATGTGGGACTATATATCTCAACATGCCCATAATTCTAAATTCATATTCATCAATGAAGTTAATAAAATTACTAAACTGTTTTGTGAGATCTTACGTCTTTGGATCATTGTATTGAAGATACTCTCTCTCAACGTTCTCTGAAGCAACACTTGGGGTGGTGCCATTACTAGCCTCTGGCTGCGGCTTCACTTCAGGGTACACGTCTGCTAAACATGCCTCCCCTCCAATAGTTTCGCATGCTTCTGCTGGAAACACTCTGAGAAGAACTCAAACATAGGTTATGAATATAATGAACACTTTCAAGTCTCTTAACAACCTAGAAAAAGTTATCAGCTTGGTGAACTAAAAAAACTGATAATATTAGGGGCAATATATTTCAATTATTGATGTGCTAATATATAATAAATCACGATCGTTAGATATAAATAGAATCAACGATCAAGATTAAGAATATAATGTAAAATGATCCAAGCCATAATATTAAACTCGAATTAATTATCGAGAGTTAGAGTACTGGTTAGTTGTTCAATAAATGTATAGAAGCATACAATAAGTATAATAATAACAACATTATATATATATATATATATATATATATATATATATATTTTTTTTTTTTTGATTAGGACATCACCTATGAAATTGTCTTATTGTTGTTCCAATTTTCAGTTGAGTTGGTCTGGTTTTAATAACAGAGAGAAAAAAATTCTACTAATCTGAACAAAATTGGAACTGAAAGTTAGAATGAAGGTAATAATAGAGAAGACTTACGAGAAGGAAGAGTTGTAATCCACAATTGAAGTGTCATGGTTAACGGCTGCAAATTTGATTGGGGGGTAACGAGGTGAAGCACGTGAGCCAGTCAATTTGGTAGGGAAGCTGGTAAGATGGGAGACACTCTTTGCATGTTTCAGAGGCACAACGTTGGGGGCAGCAAAGGTTAAAGCTGTCTGCATTTTGAAGGGTGCTAGTGAAATTTGATCTTGGATTAAGTTTTTAAGGAAGGTTGCTTCTAATTTATAGGATAGGTTGTCCATAATGGATTGAGATATTTGAGTTCAGGATAACTGGATAAGGTTGCCTTTTTGTCTTTGGGGATCATCCTCCTATAGCGGGTTACATCACCCCAAGATATTTATGAATCTCTTGGACTTTTTCACTCACCATGATAATATCCAGGTTGATTTTTCTACCATACCTGAGATCTTTTTTCTTTTTTTGTTTTCCTAGTTCTGGCTCAGTTTTTCCATCTTGATTTTTACCTGCTTTGTTCCTACGGAGAAAAATGGAGGGGGAATACTGCAAGCAGTAATAATTGATAAGCCACTGTGTAAGATCTATGTTTTTTTTTTTGGGCTGAAGAAAACGAAACAGAATTCCAAAATTGAGTTTGTAGAGGGATATCATGACAAGGTAATTTTTTAATCCACTATTATACTTATTACTTCATTTTCTTCTTTTTTTTTTTATTATCTTTCACTACCAAATCTTAACCATTGATTTCTATTAATCTAACGGTTATAATTTATTAAAAAATAATAATTAATTAATAAATATGACCCAATAAATTACAATCATTAGATTGATGAAAATCAATAGTTAAAAATTTACTAGTAAAAAATAATAAGAAAAAAAGATAATAACTATAACCTCCCCTTAATCCAAAATAGTTTTTTGTGGTTACAAAAATCCAAAAACGGACTATTACAATATGTAATAGTTTTTTGAGACAATCTATATGACACCCAATTGAGTATTTTTTTTCAAAAAGAAAAATGAGATCGAATCGAATTCGGAAAATAAGATTTTTCCAAATACTTTAGTCGTTACAGTACCAAACTGAAAACACGCATACAAAAATGACACTTGTACTCCCCAATTTTAAATGTTTGAGTAGAACGGGATCAACTTATTAGAGTAGATCCATTCAACAATTTTTTAGACATTTTGTACGGAATCTCTCACGTATTTAGAGGGCTTTTTTACCTTGAGGCTGCTCAAAGATGAACGAACCAGAGGAATCACATTAGCATGAGACAGAAACAGAAACCCAGATGAGTACTACTTCAGAATAAAAATGAGTACGATCAGCAAAATAAGTGCAAAGTTTCATGCGCAGAAACACAGATGAGGCAGTAGCATGAGACTTCCAAAATAGAAAATCATAAAGCAAAAAAGCTTGGCTACAAATTCCAGTAAAACTCATCCAGTTCACAAAAACAGTTGATAATCACTTTTCTGCTTTTTAGGCTTTGTTGATCATCGCATTAAAGAAAAGTATTTTCCGCAAATGCTTCTTCAACCAATCAATACATCCTAAAAGATTGACATCTATCATACTATTGAATAGGCCCTGTTCATTTCAAACCTGATAAATGAGGCACAACAAATTTCTGTAGTCAGAATCCCTATATTGTGGTTTCTAGATCCCTACCATGAATCACCTTGGAGTATAAATCATCTGGTTCAATGAAATTAAGCATATTCAACACCCTGATTTTCCCTCGATGGAGTTGAGATTCTTCTTATGCGCCGAAAGCCGCAATATGTGATGGAACAGACGAAAGGCTGAGGAGCTATACGTCTCAAAAGCCCTCAGAAGCTAACTTCATCCCAGATTCCATTTAGAAGACGGTTAGGTGTGATCAGAGAATAACAATAGACAGCAAAAACACCATTTACACCTCAGATTTTAAGGAATGTCTGACACACACTAGATCATCCAACTTATTGCCGTCCATTTTATACAGAGAGACACCTCGCATCTGGTGATAGTGATCTTGTGCTTCTTTCCTCAAACTCTCAAAAGGCATGACTTCCCATTTATTATAATTTGAGTTCTTCCTGACATCACTCATGTCTGGCGATCCAGAGATGGGTCCACTTTTGTCAGGGTCCACATTGCCCCACACCTTACAACTGCCAAACTGCCCTAAGTCACCAGCCTGATCAGCTTGACTCCTTTTCAAGCGCAAAGCAGCTGCATGTGCTTGGCTTATCATTTCTCTACTTGGCACATCTGACCAGTCTTGCCTCCTCTTAGATCTCATGGGGGAATGAATCCTGATTACCTGACAATAACACCTACTGTCAAAAATATTTAGAAAAATACACAAGTACATTTTAATGCGGAAATTTATAGTTAATATAAATACCCCAAGACATTCTAGAAATTGGTAGTATGCTCTTCCTTGAAGTGGATTGTGTCCTTTCCTAGGAGCAGAGAAGTATCTTGTCCTACAAGAGAAAAAATGATAAAAAGGAAGCTAAAATATTTATTGGCTTCAGCAACACAGCCTTAAAAGTACAATATATATATATATAAGGATTTGGAGTATCAATGAATGAATCTATTCAAGGACACAAACACAAAGAATATACTAAAAAGGGCACACAACACAGACCAAGAATATAGATAATCAAATAAAAATCCAAATAGAGAAACCTACCATTCAGTGTATCCTGGATCAACAGTGAACCCATATATATCAACAGTATCACACATGGAGAGCGCCAACTCAATAGATTTCATTCCAGTTCCTTTGGCACCTCGACGTAGTACAATACCTTGGAAGAGATAGACTGGATTTGGTAAAGTCTGCCATAAAAGGTAGTTTACAAGAAGGTAGACAAACGTATTCTAGTAAGTATCCATTTGCTCCCACCTGTAACAAGTTTATATACCAAAAAGCATCAAACAAATAACTACCAAAGAACAGATTCTCACCTTTATAACTGCATTGATTTCTCTATGTGTCAGACTCTTGATTATGAGTACCTCGTCATCTGCAAAAAGAACAAAAATTTACCAACAGATAAAAGGGAACAAAAAATTTATGTAGTGAAATTCTAGGTTTCTAGTTCACAGGTCTTGAGCAACTATCTACCAGTCGACCCCATAAATCTGAGCTTGATAGTTAGCGTAGCTACCCAGGTAATATATTAAAATATTCATCAACATAATTAAAAGAATCTAATATATTACAGGATTATCACAACAACAATTTTTTTTATTATTTTAATCAATTTACCCATTAGTTTTACTTGTTTTATATATTAATTTCAATATTTTATATCCTGTGGGGTTTATAGGCTAGTCTTTCAAATCCAATTCGGTCAAGCATGAAAAGCAAGAAATAATATCTATATCTGAAAATTCTAAATTTTAAAATATGAATTTAAGTAGATAGGGTTGATTGTGTATAGCCAAACTGAATTACTGGTTAAAACAAAATTGCATCCCCCACCATCCAATTTTTAAAAATTAAGTACTTTTTGCAATGGGGACAACATGATCATTTTGTAATGTGTCACCTACCATCCCAATAAAGAGCTAACACCAACTTTTCAACTTTGAGAACTATATGTATAATGGTCGCGTGGCTTTTTCTTTGGCAGGAAAATACTCAAGAAAGACAAACATACCCTGATGACTGTAGTTCCAAGAAACTTATTTTTTTTTTTTTAGTAATTTTAAAATGTGAGCAAAACTGACTTTGAATCTGAGACCCAAATCACGTCAGGCTTTCAAGCTTAGGCAAGGCCAGTAGCCGACTAGTTTGGACCCCATAGGCTTGAACTATGATGCTCAGGACATGGTCACGCAGAAGAAGGTCCAGAGAAATTGAGAAATAGGTTATATAAAATATTGGAGATGCTTATCACAAATGATCAAATCCTTCCATGGCTACTTACAGTGAGTGATAATAAATAACAAAACAAATTAACATAAGAAGGGTACCTTTGTAGAGAAAGTGCAATCACAGAATTCGAAGTAACAACAAAAGTTCTGCTACCGAGGACATTTTATAGAACATAAAATGGGTGTATTCACTATTCAGGAGTTATAAAGCCAGTCAGTCTGAAATTAATTTGTGTCACCCATGTCAATGCATTGGTTTACTTGTAGTAGTAGTACTGATGGAAGATGGCTTTAGACTAAAATTGCACAAAGGACAAAATCAATTATGAAACTTTAAACAGCCCAATTATTCAGTGAAGCTTTCAGGAACAGGATACTCAGATCAATAAGTTGTAATTTTGATGGAAGAGAGAAACAAAAATATTTTGGCTCTAAGCATTGTTCTGTCTTTTTCCTATTGGATCCCAGAGACTCAAATTCAGGGCATCACATTATTTCCCATTTTCTTTAATTAAAAAAGAAGTGTGTGTACCAGGAACAAACACAAACAGGCCATATTTTTCTTTGAGTGACTTTCCAAAAATAAATAAATAATGTGATTTGCACATGCTCCTCAAACCATTGAAGCTAATCCACGGTTTGGACTGCAGGTTGCACATCGCAAATGGTCATGCTCAAGTAATATCACATAGATGCTTAATTTAGTACTCTCTTCTTTTTTTCTTTTTTTTTTGTGGTGGGGGGTTGCAATTGGACTAATAATCATGTTAGTAAAGTGCAAATGAGGCCTAGTACCTAACCACTTACTCCTAGACAGATCCCGTAAATAATGTATATTATGATCAGACAAATCCTTAAGCTATAATATTTCCTTTCATCTCCCAGATAAATACAAGAATTAATCACTTAATAGAGACAATTGAAAACATAAGATAATAACAAAGCATTCAAAAAAATTAGTAGGATATACAATAACATCAAGGCTGTATACAGTTTAAAAAATATAGATAGAGACTGTGATAATGCAGAATTTAGACAAAAGAATATTATTTTACAACGCTGCTGTAGGACATGAAAACCAGGAATTCAAAAGTACTATTCAAATAGAATAGGATAATTAGAATGGTCAACAAAAACAAAAATGAGTCAAGGATATTGCAAGAAAACTACAGAAGGTAGAGTTCTCAAAAAATCCTTGGGTAACAAAAGATGAGTATAACATATTCAGGGCACAGAGAAATAAAGCTACATTTCATAGTGTAGCAATTTGTAAATGACAAGGATTTTGAATGGATTCTCAATATAACATGAGACCCAAAATTTCAAGTGCTGGCTTTCAATAAAAGTTTGATACTTTTGTTTAAATATTTTGATGTATAATAACTTACCAGACCCATTTAGAATAGGGACCATGTTACGAGCAGCACCTCTTACAACTAGCCGGAAATCCCTCTTAAGTCCAACGTACTTGGCATATTTCTACACAATTCATAAAGAGACAAAATAAGTATTGGCAAATTTTTTTTAAAGTAGATCAGATCAATGCGCTTTATGCTCTACATCACTCTATTGCATCTTGTTCAGAAGTAAGAAAATAGTGGTTGGAGCTTGCAATCTTGCATTAGCTGATTGGTCAGTTTCATCCATGCATGGATAAAGTAACTGGATATCAAGTCAATAGAAAGCCAATTTTTTTTGAAAAAGAAAGTACTAAAAAGTTAGTCACTGAGAAAATTTGCCCCATCAGAAAATATCAGTTTTATAATTGTATGAGATAATAGGTTTACCTGATTAACAGGGGCCTCATTGTCTCGAAAAACAGCATCGTGACTATCAATTTCTTTCCCAAATTCTGTCTTCAGAAGGTCTCCAGAATTTCCAACAACAGCACACGTACGAAACTGCCGTGGATGAAAGGGGGGTTTTGCAGGCAATAATATATTGAGGTTCTCTTCACAAAGAGTCCTATTATAACACTTCTTAGCTCCCCTACAAGAAGAAAAAGTGTAATTAAACTTGCTTCATAATAAGATGCTAATTGCAAACAAGCAGAATACAACTATATCACTATCGACATGAACAAACAGTAGAAGTAAGGTTTTGGAGATACATACAATTGTGCTATCCTTTTTGCAGCATAATCTAACCAACCATCAGGACGCGTATCAAGATACTCTCTGGTCAACACTGTAGTCATGTTACGGTACTGCAACATCTCAACATATCAGTATTTAGGACAGATTCATCCTGAAAATTTGACTTAAGTGCGGGTAAAGAGGGTGGCAATCAACCTGTTCCCACAATAGGATTGCTTCACATACATCATACTTGTACTCCAAAGGTTCAAAGATTTTAAACTGTTCATTGTACTGCAATTTTTGAAACGTTAACAAATAAATAAATCAGGATTTGGCTATTAATGGAAATTGAATCAAAGAAAATGGGTCAGGAGACAGAAAGACATACCCATGTGCTGTTGGTGCCTTCAGGGAACTTAAGGATCAATTTGCAGTGGTCAACAATATGTGCAGTGAGTCCAAGCCCCCTGTTAGCCTGTGTTCAATCCCAAGCTCAGTACATATCTTCAGTCTACTAACTAATTCAAATTTTTTAACAACTTATACATCACCTTTATTCCAAACTAGTTAGGGTGCTATTAGAGTAAAGCATAATCTGATAGTTAGTCGGGTTTATTATCAATGGTGATGTGACACATTGTATACTTAGTTTAGTTCTGTTGTATCAGTTACAACTGTACGTAACAGATTCTCTGATTATATAGCTGAAAGCTTGTAGATCAAGCATTGTATTCATCTTCCTATATATATCAGATCTGAAGTTCATATCTGTTAGCAAGCAATAATATAGTTACAGTTCTGAAGCTTTCCTTTCCCTTTTCCTTCAGATTTTTTCAGCTTTTCTCTAAATCTTTTAGGTGCAAATGAAGCCATATAAAAGCAAGAAGAACAGATTCAGAAATAAAATAAAATAATAAATAATACATAAGGAAAAGTAATATATACATATTATATATAGTAATAAAATAATAAATAAATAAATAAAAACAAAGAAAAATTTTACTCTCCACGATTTTAAATTTTAATAGCTTTTCTCCGCTCAATTTTTTTTTTAACAAAAAAAAATAAAAAAAATTGGGGACAAAGCTAATTCAGTAACATTAATCAATTTGACAGAATGCACAATCACAAATATCACAAATGGTAAGATAAATAATCGTATTATTATCATGCAGAATGGAAGAGTGAATTTCAGATCCAATACAAATCAGTGAATCAAATTACCACGCATTGCTGAACACTGGACTGAAAGTGAGACAAGAGACGAATTGCGTCTGAATCGCGATCTGAATAGAGAGAGCCTGAAATTTGATGGAAAAATTGAGGAAACATTTGGAACGGAATTTGAATTCGAATTTGAATGATTAGGGATATGGATATTATGATTTACCTGCGAAGAAAGAGGATTGGATAGCGAAGAGGAGGAGGGAGAACAATGCAGCGGCACACACCAGATAAAGAATCGTGGGTCGCCGGTTATTGTTGCTAAGAGACGATGATACTAGCTTGTGCTGTCTCATTGGTATCGCTTCGCACACAAAGTGAAAGAATCTAATCTAGAATGCCATGAAAGATTTAAATCAAGTGCAACGTAGCACTGAACACCTTCAGTTCTGTGAAACGACCGCGTTTTTCACGATGATACTAGACTTGACTTTGCTTTTGAGATGGAAATCGAAGCGCAACGACGTATTACGCTGTTACAGGCTGTATTTGGTGTAATAATAAAATTAAATTTTTTGCTTTTTTTTTTTTAAAAAGGAATGTGGTGGCTAAATTTTTCAGTTGAGAATATGGAAAAGAAAGTCAAATACAGGTCTTTCATCTATAAGTGAGATTCTCGGTGTGTGAGTGTCAATTTTTTTGCAATTATGTTTTTATACGTATGAAAGAAAATAGATATAGATATATCATATACAGATCAAAGTAATTATTGTTGTTCTGGATGACCCAATTCTATACAGCCCAATGATCTAAGTCCAAGCCTTTTCCCTTCTTTCATGTCAACTCTACCAATCTGACATTACCAACTCTCCATACGTCCTGCCCTCAAGGCGACAGCGCCTCCTAAGTGAGACACCAAAATGTCTCACCTTGAGATTCCAATCCTCTGGGAGATCGCCCCAGACACCATAAATAGTAACCCCCCAGCGTTACACGCTGACATCGCCGATGCAGGGTCTGTATCACTGCTATCATAGCAGTGCCAGCCACCCCTAGCAGATCTTAAGGAAGGTTGACCCCCTCTCACCAACCCACACAGAGTATATATCGTATCTCTCTATAAATACCTCCCTTCTTAAATAAAGAGGGACATCTTATCTATCGTTACTCTGCCCGTAATCCTTGAGTCACACACATACACATACCCCCCATACTTGGAATAATGCTTCCTAGTTTGATCTCTACTGTGCTAGAAGTACAACCCATATAGTGACTCTTATATCTAAAGGGAACATAGTGGGCTTATAGATCTCAACGTGTAAATGTATACTTTTAATTAAATTACATGAAAATAGTGGGACATTAAGGAGTTAAGAGGCACATAGTGATTGGTAATCTATATGGGTGATGTCTCATGTGGGTCTACTTTCTTGTTTATCACTTGCCCAACATCCTCGGTCCCAAACTCTTATAATCCCTCCTGAAGCTTGCGATTATTTTTATAGGATTTGTAATTGTTATGTTACAGCAAATTCATTGGATCATGTTATAGAGACATCGAAAACTTTGTAACAAATATTTTGATTTTTGATTTTTTTTAAAAATAATGGAACCCACCAATGTTGTTTGTGCAGGAAAATGAAATAGATTCCTGTTACATGACATTTCGAAATCCCTATTTTTATATATCAGCCAATATCTAAGACCACATTATATAATTTCATGACCTCGAATATATTATTCTTCTTCGATTCTTCACACTTGTATTTTCTAACCTAATTACATTATTCATCTTAATTTAAGTGTCGGAATCTTAATAAATACGCCACTCTCATTGTGTTAATGCAGCGTGGGTATTGTCATGACCCAAACTCTAGTCATCATCGAGCTGAACTTAACCTTAATATCAAATAAGCAGGCAAGTACAAATTATTATTATGATACATTAATGTAGATATAATTTATCAACTTTAGATTAATATCTTATAAATCTTCTAATCAATTTAAAATATGAACCTTATATATATTAAAAAATATATATATGAACCTTACACTCACAAGACGATATGTTAGGCTCACTCATGATAATCAAGCAGTCTTCCTTAATCAACTTGAGTAGATAAATCAAAAATTATTTATTTATCTTTACCTCCAAATATATATATATATATATATATATATATATATATATATATATATATATATGATGAAGATTATATTTACAAATTTTTTGTTTACAAATTTTTACAAACTATACTATGTTTGACCGGTCATACTTCAATCAAGAGTGTATGACCGGTCAGATTTGTGTAATTTGTAAATGCATCATTCCCACACACACACACACACACACATATATATATATATATATATATATATATATATATATATATATATATATGAGGTAGGATCAATTGACACCGGTATCAAATTTGAAGTTTGACACCTCATCTAAGAGCCATTAGATCAAAAAAGATCAACGACTCTAATTTGTAAGCATGTGATACCATTGATCTTTTTTTATCTAACGACTCTCAGATGAGGTGTCAAACTTCAAATTTGACACCGGTGTCAAATGATCATACCCCTCTCTCTCTCTCTCTATATATACATACATATATATATATATATATATATATATATATATATATATATATATATATATATATATATATATATAGGGAGGATATTCTTACTACCAAAATTTTCTACTACTAACTTACTACCTATCTAATCATCATTGAATCAAAGAGAGAGAATGCTACAAAGTTTTTGAAAAAAGAGAAAATGTTGATCCAATGGTGATTAGATAGATAGTAAATTGGTAGTAAAAAATTTTGATAGTAAGAATATCCCTCCTCATATATATATATATATATAATTTAAACTTTTTTAAAAATAAATCATTTAACAAATCTTATTAAAAGTGATGGAATTTACATTTCTTTAATCTGATATGAATTGATTAATAAATAAATAAATAAAATTCTTAAATTCACATAATTATAAATGAACTTTATAAAAGGATTTTGTTTACCGAGATTTACTTTTTTTTATTGAAATTTCTAGCAAAAAGTTAGAGTATTACTAAAGCACTCATAACCAGTGGCGGATCCAGAAAATTAACGAAGGGTGGACACTCAATAAGTTCAAGTACATATAGATCTAGGTCTGGTCTGGAACGCGACTTGCGATCAGCTGCCGGCTGGCTGAGTCTGGTTTAGATCTAGACCTGGACGGATTGCGACTCAACTGGACCGATGATGGAGGAAGAAACAAATGTTCCAACTTCCAATAACGGAGATTGAGATTTGAGAAGAGATGAATCAATATGTAGATGCAAATAATGGGTCTGGAATAGAGCTCTTTGCTGTTAGGTTTGGATAATGAAGTAGAGGAGAAAAAAACTTACGGGAAAATAAAATAGAAAGAGGGAAATTAAAGGGGTAGATATCATAACAACCAACTAGGGTTACTACCAATCAATTTTACCGTTAGATCGATTATGTTGATCTAACGATTATATTTATTTTCATCTTTGTATGGTTATGATCCCCATATTTAATGTAAAAGCATTAAATATGGAAAATCATAATCATACAAAGGAGAAAATAAATATAACGTATTAAATATGAGGAATCATAACCATACAAAGATGAAAATAAATATAACCGTTGGATCAATATAATCGATCTAACGGTGAAATTGATTGGTAGTAACCCTAATTGGTTGTTATAATATCTTACCCCAAAATTAAATTGAAAAAACTTAAATTTTAAGATAAGGATATTTTTGTATTTTCACATCATATTTCAAGAGTGGGCACTTATCTCCCTTCTCATGTACCTGAATCCGCCTCTGCTCATAACCTAAGTAATAAATTAGTTAGTTGAAAGTACTAGTGAAGCGAGCGGACTAGGATGGGTGATCGCTCTCCTTCAAGGCCATCCAAATCTTTAGTTATGAGAATTATTTTTAATTTTTTTAATTATTACTACTATATACATAATAATCACCCCCGAAATTTATATAAGCCAGTCTTACATAATAAACCTGTGGCTTATGCTGAAATCTTCCACTATATGTTGAATTGGCTTGTAAATTGGGACAAGAGGCAATGGGGAGTTGATGAATCTCATACACAGTTGTTTGGATGTGATCTAACTTTTAGGTTGACGAGGGAAAATGTAGAGTGCCTTTATATGAATTATTACGCAGTTAGTGGTTTGCAATTCATAGAAAATACTCCTGATGTTGAAGTACTATATATACACTCATCTCGTATATCCACAGGAGAAAAGATTATGAAAATATTAGATCAGCATCTTCTATGCCTTGGTACTACCGCCGATCACATATGTAAAGTCTACTCAGAGAACCAATTGCACGTATAGGTGATCAACCTCGTAACTATTTCAAGAAACTCATTTTTCGCACATCAAATTATCATTAAAACAAGTTTCGTGTGCATTTGATATATATTTAAAAATGATACAAATAAAATAGTAAAGCACAAGTGACTAAATCACAAAAAACAATTGTGTTATTCATTGTTCGATAAACAATATGTCCAGGATTTACAATTAACACAATTATAATGCACACGGATCCATATCAAACAAACAAAACGTCTTGTAAAAGAGGTGCTCGTATTAAATGCGCTGCTTTCTAACTTGAGACAGCACATAATTCTAGAGACCCACGGAAACATGCAACTAAACTTTAACTGGCATAACTTTGTATTGATGAAAACATTTATTCTCTCCCCACATGTCTACCTATCTACAAGTAGTTAGACGCGCATAAAATACATGTAATCCATAGAACGATTCATAACTCGACACTGAAATCATCTTCCAAGGAGGCGTGAATTGCCAATTTGGCTTGGGACTAGCTGCGATGAGGTTGAGAGTCGTCTAACATATATAATCTAGAGTCAGCGACCAAGTAATCAATAACGCCTGCCACCAGCTGTTGACAGCAGAACTCGATTTTGTTTCTTTCCCTTCTTCCCCAAGTCATTTGTCTTTGGTGCATTCAAGCTTATATTAGATTCTGTTCTTGATATAACATTGGAATATGACGATGTCTCCCCATTTCTCAAACCTAAAGGATCCACAACAGTTCAGAACAGAAAACATGTTCAGGCACTTGCAGCAGCTTGATTTTCTGTTGAGGCATAACTTATTTAGGCAAGCAGAAAATATCAAAATTGCATAATCACTTAATACCTGTTGTTCCAGAAGAATCAGTGGTTGTATTGCTACTTTCTTGAATTTGTAAGGATGGAGAATCATGACCAGCAGCAAAACCAAGCCTCGTAACATTTGAGAACAATTTTCTCTCCCCCACCACTGGAGGACTTGATGACATAGCTGAATTTCCCAGAGCTGAACAAAACGCAAATACAAAGATTATATACACCATAACACATGATTAACTGTAATACCAAAAAAGTTGAACTACTGAGGAAGATGCGGCTTAATTAGAGATAAGGCCCAAGTGCAATAATGGAAATTATGTTGATGTATGACACTCAACAGCTACAGCTCACATAATTCATTCATTTTCTCACACACAACATACTATTTCTATGATAGTAAGACTTTTAGTCACGTGACCACACATTCCTTCCTCCAAAATCCAGAAAGCAGATTACCTTCAAAGTCATCCATGGAGAAAGTGGGAGGATCATCACGAGAAGTAAGTTGATAACTTGTTGGTATTGGAAGAGAATAAGTAGAAGTAGCTTCAGCCTTTATTTTTTCCTTCCGTTCCTAGAAATAAGAATACAGCATAATTCCAGAGACATGGGAAAGTACATGCCAAAACCAAAAAAATAAAAAAAGTAATCGAAATGTGAATAGAAGGCATTTGATAACACAGCAGAATCAATACCAAGTGCAGACCACAAACAGCACAACAGAGCTGACTAGCAATTATATGGGTATGGGGCCCTGTTTTAGTACCATAGCATAAGTTACAGAATCCAGGTTCAACTGTAATCTAACAATATTTGGGCCCAGGTTCAGAAAACCCAGAACAGAAAAAAAATGTTTTCCCAAACCTAAAGCCTAGCCTTGCCCAACCCGAGAAGATTTCCTTAACACGCAATTCACCCTACTTGCACGCCAGACAAAAAGGCTTGCAAAGAGGAGGGAGACAAATAATATAAAGAAAAAATTGATAAAAGCAGTTTTCTGGGAAGAGATTGCACTCAATAATTAGATCACATCCTTTTATACAAGCATTAAAGGGTGTATGAAGTGAGTCAAGGGACACTCAAAATCTTGTTAACCTCCTCGAAATCTATATATATATATATAAAATGCTGGGCTACATCGGTACCTTCTTTGCTATTTGCTTCCTCTGATTTGCACGCTTCTTTATTTCATCCATAAATGGGGCCAGTGCTTCAGGTGGCAACATCTCACCCAAATCAATTTCACAAAGCTGAAAAAGTAGCAAACATCTAATATAAATCATAACAAAATATCTAGGAACTAAAACGACTTTCTTTTAAAAGGCACCTGAAATGTTGTGGTCAACGGAAAATGACTTAGGAAACGATACCGCCTCCTCACAGCCTCAGACTGAGTAACTGTCTCCAATTGCAGAATCTTTCCACTTATTCTGCAATCAGTAGACTCTGGTCAAAAAGTGTTTAATACTCACTAATGCTCCTCCCAACAGAAGATGTTCATTCAGGACACCAGCCATAAGTAACACACAGATATGCAAAACAACATCAACTCGTATTCTCAAATCTATATACTTGAAAAGAAAGATAAGTATTATCACTAATAACATTTCAGATGAAATAAATACAAATTTGTGCAACATTTAACGAAAATTTGCTCTATGATAGAACCCAATAGCAATTAGTCCATGTATCTAACAAACCTAGTGGGTTAAGGCTTAGTGTTATCGTTTGCAACTTCTCATAGAAGATGCTTTCCGCTGATCCTATCATTGAATGTGTTTCTGTTGAGCAGAAATTACTAACCAAACTTAATTTAATTTGAATACCATCATTGAGGTTTAATTCTATTCTGAAATCAATGCTATATGTTATGAGATATTGATTAGCAAGAATAGCATATATGGTGAAATCTTTCTAATTTGTGACTTTGTGTGACATTCGTCTTCTTTTGCACGAGCAGATCTAATTTTGTATGTACATAATACTTACGGGATTAAAAGGCACTGATGAATGGCGCACGTATGTTTATAAACCAAAGTTGAGACATGACAATTCAATTTATAGCCAATAAATGATAAAGTCCCACATTATACCAAAACCATTTGACCTTAAGCACACAAACCAACACACATGTTTCCATTTACTCTCTAAGCACATAGGAGAAATATAATTTGATTTTGCCCAAACCTGTGGGGAAGCATATCATAGCCCCCATAATGGTGAAGTAAACACTTCATGTTCAGAGTATGTAGAATTAGATGCTGACCATCAGCGGCCTGCAATAGACATGAGCATGGTAACAACCAAATGTCACCACTAAAGGGGAAATAGAAAGAAATCTTTTAAGCATAAAGCATTCAGACATAGCTAAACGAAACTAATAGCAGCAATTTCACATAACAATTGTGGGGGTCTAAGTGGTAAAGGGGTTCAGGATGGGTATAAATGATTTGACATCAATGGATAACTAAAGTTCAAAACCTACATGTTGCTAGCAAGGACAAGCAAGCCAGGCTTATATCAGCATCATCTAATACAACCAGCACTCCAAGTAAACCAGTCAACCATAGTAAGACATAACAAATCTTTAGAATGCAATGAAAAATATCAAAACCACTTATGCATAAAGGTAGTATCAAAATGCTCATATTTTCCACTTGCAATTAAAAATTTTGTGAATAACTAGGAGATCATGCAGGAAACAGTAGTCAAAGTGTAGAGATTCTATTTGGATACAGCCTCAACAAAATTTTGACAATTAGGAAATTCTCCCCATAATGATATTGTTAGAAACAATGACCAGGTACAAGAATATCAATTAACAAGGGAAGGGAGCAGATGCTAGACCAACATTGAATACAGAAAGAGTAACTGTCAAAAGCAGGTTAGCACGGCTTAAAGATCTTCAGAGCCTTTATTTTTCATTGAACTTTCTTTTTTCAAGAAAGGTTGTCAGTATTTTATATGACTTGATTTACAATCTAATGCAGAAGGTTAACTAAGAAAGTTCATGCTATCCAAATAGATTGTCAGAGCTATGCTATTATTGCACACCAAGACTCAAGACAGATAGAAACTGATTACATGACAGGTGTTGTAGTTATCTCTCAATTCCTCAGTTTAATCTGAAATTTTCCCATATACTTTGGTTTCTTAGTTTTAGGCTCCAGCTTTATGTTAGAAGAATGGTGTAAACATCTACCATATGAAACTCATTTGAAAGAATAGCTAAAGTTATTGAGAGACAGATTCTGGGATCCCACACTTTATGTTCCCTTTAAAACACAAATTAGAAGTAACACATTATACTGTACTCTAAAACCTAAAGCCTCAATTCATCTGCTTAACTGTTTCATATTTTAGAACCATAAAGACACATTTTCTGTCTTCTCCATACTGAATCTATGAATCTGCATTTATTGCAGTCAATATGATAAGATCCAGAAGAGTAAATGGGAACAGGGTCAGAGTTAGTTCGATGTTTGTATGTTTGTTTACAGTTTACTTAGTTACAGTTAGAATCTATCAAGGGGATAGGTACCTAGGCACAGGGGCTTGGGCTTAAATAGCAGGAGCAAGGTAGGAGGGAGACATTAAGGAATTTAGATGAGGACTGTGCAAAGGCTCTGTTATGAAAGGGGCAATCCTTTGTGAAGCCGAAACCCTAGGAAGGAGAATTCCCTCCTTAGGTTCCTTGTTTTAATTCAATAAACACTACCAAACTATTCTTCTTCCTTACCTTTATCTTTTTTTCTCAACTCTCTCTCTCTCTCTCTCTCTCTCTCTGAAAGCTCAACCCATTTCTGGGTTCCTAACAGAGCAACAAGCTGCAACCTAGATACTCTTTGACTTTCCCTAGAGTTTGTTAGGGGGATGGGTAATGAGGTGAGTGGAATGGGAACAATTCCAACTTGTTTGGAAGTATTAAATTTTTTTATGGGGGCGTGTAAATGGAAGCACTCCCCCTAAAAAATCTCACTTTGTGCTCCCCTCCAAATTGGGGGGATAATGAGGGGTGATAGATTTTCTTTTATTTAAAAATTTGTCATTTCTATTTCACCCATAAATTGAACTACTTGAAAAATGTTCACAAGGGTCATATTGACATTTAACACATAAGACATAACCCTTACATCTCTCCCTTGCATCTCTCTCTTCTCTTATTAATCATCCAAACACAGTAGCAAAATTCATTTCCATTCCATTCATCTCCTTTCCATTTTATCTCACGCCTTTCCAGTCCATCCCATCCTCTCTAAACCTTCCAAATATAGCCTTATAGGGTAAAGCACTAATATAATTAAAGCCTCCTTCCAACTTTTCAAACCCCTATAGTCCTAATTTATCCTAAGCCAAGCCAACAGCAGGCAAAACACAAAGTTGTCTGAACATATCTTACATATTTACATGAGGTCAAATTGATCCACATAATCCTAAACAAGAATAATCAGTTTACAATTCATATGATGATACATTTGTTCTATTCAATTAGAGAAATAGAAGAAAGAAACACAGCATACAGAAAACAAACAAAAACCATTTGTGTCATCAGCTACCTGGTAGAAATTGTACGAATCACTTTCCTTCACATCTCCAACGCCACTTGAATGCCTTTGAATATCTTTTTTCTCCTCATACGAAGAAGATAAATTCATTTCCTGCTCTTCTAATACTTTCTCCACATCCAAAGTCTGATCCGGAACAGCTCCAACAATTGAATTATCCATTATTGTAACCTTACTTTGGTCATGGAAACCCATAGAGGAAGTTCTTGATCCATTCAAACAGTTTCCATCATCAATATCCATAGAATTTTCACCTATTGATGGTATCTGATGTCCATAATCAATAAGCCTAGAAGATTTTTCTCCATCACAAGCCCTGTGTTCATTCCAATACTTCTTCCTCTGTTTTAATTGTTGCATTGCAGCACAAACATAAGGAAGCTTCTCCAAGTCATCAACAAGACCTGAATCAGCCCTGGCCAGCCAACCATCTAGATCTGATATTGCATGTCTCACTGAGAGATCTACATCTGAAGTGAGTGTGAACTTAGAAAAGGGATCACATAAATCTCCATTGCCACATGGTCTGATATCTGTTTCTTGTTTATTTTTATGTGACAGAGTAAATGAATCCTTTTTTCGCGTTAAAAAGGTGAACTCAACATTATCTCCTACTTGATACTGTTTGACATTAGTGATGTGTACTGTATATAAATCCTTGGCAGATATCATCACAAAGCATAAAGGACACCTTTTCCAGCAATCACCTTTGTGATCTTCTTCACCCAGTAATAAGTATTGTAGAATACATGGGAAACAGAAAATATGTCCACATGAGGTTATTTGTGGACACACGGGATTTTCCAAACAAATTGGACACTGAACTGGAAAGGGGGTTGAATATGTCACACATATAATATCTTCCCACTGCAACATTTTATCTGGATCCATTGACTCAGGTGAATAATTTCCTGAATCTAACACCACGAATTTGTAATTTGCCTGCAAAAACAAATCTTTGTTGTATGGTTTTCTCTTCCGCTGCCTTCTTGCTGGAGGGGGAGGAGGAGCACCCCTTGATTGAGAGCGGGATATTGGATCATAATGAAAATTCAGCAAGTAATTGCCATTCACTGCCTGAGATTTTCTTCCCGCTGAAGGGGTGCTTCCTTGAGAATTTACAGACCCAGGAATCTGTAGATTTCTATGAGAAGAAGCTGTTCCTGTTGTATTTCCCACTGACTGGGATGATCCAATTGTCTGTCTTCCCGAGTAACTCCTAGAATGTGTTCTAGAGTTTTGGTGAGATGTAGCCTTCATACCACTTGGAGACCCTAATTCTGTCACCTAAAAGCAAAACAGAACAAAAGTAACCTACAGATACACACAACTTAAACTTCCAGAAACTAAGTCCAAGTCACATATTTCAACTTGAAGACAGATATGTTCCTTTAAAATGGACATTTGAGGCACAGTCCTATTTCAAATTAGACATAGATGCTGTAACCAATACAAAATAATAAATAAACGATCAAATAAATATTCCGGCCCTCTACAAAAAAAATCAATACCTTTTCGGACGGTCCACCAGAATCTTCAGCAGCTGGAGTCGATGAACCTAAATTCAAAAATGAATCAATTGAGCAAACAGCGCCAAACAAAGAAAATCATTCAACACAAACTCAAAACCATACTCTTCCAACTCAATAACTCCCAATAATTAATCACTATACAGAATTCAATATCCATAAAATAGAACATTTTCAGAGGGAAATTAGAGCAACCAGTAGGAATTTGAAAAAAAAAATTAAAAAATTATGTTCAATTTTTTCCTCTTATTCTGATTTGACCAAGCAAACGTGATCATGAATCGAAAGACGAAACTGTGCAGACCTGGATTATCGGAGATCTGAAGAGATCCGAAAGCGATGTTGAGTTGTGGGGAAAGAGAGGAGAGTGATGAAGGAAGGGGATTGTTAACGTTTCGAATTCCATTTTGGGGATTAGGGTTTGTAGATGGCGCAGAAGATGAGGATGATGATGCAGCTTGGGTTTGTGAGGGCAAGATGGACATGAAATTTCTGGAAGAAGGGTTTGGGGGTTCGTTCGTGGTTGAGCTTCTATTCTACTTTACCAAACGAATATCAAATGAAAATGCCATTTATTTATTATTGCCTTTCGCGGTTTGGGCATCTCTGCCGCATCTTCGCCGAATATCGGTTCTACTGTCAACCACCTAATTACAATCATGCCCCGGAATGTTTTGATTTTTTTTTTTTCTTAAAATTATTTTGTAGAATAGTAAAAACCAAATCAGAAAACAAAAATAATTAGATAGGGTCTGTTTGACTGTGTTTTGATTTTTTTGTTCTTAAAACTGTTTTGTAGAATAATTATGGAAACAGTTGTTTTCTATGTTTTTTTTATTTTAAAAGTTAAAAACCTAAACAGAAAACAAAAACAACTCAGACATGTTCTCTAAATTTGATTTTAAAAACAAAAAAACAGTTACAATTTTTAATTTTTTTTTTACAAAACAGACCTTACCAAACAAGTTTTTTTATTTATTTTTTCTAAAAACTAAAAAACTGTATTTGAAAATAGTATTCAAACAGAGCCTATATATTCTCTAAATTTGATTCTAAAAATAAAAAAATAGTTATAGTTTTTAAAATATTTTTTTCAAAATAAGTCTTACCAAATTAGTTTTTTTGTTTTTTTTTTTAAACTAAAAAATTGTTTTTAAAAATACTAATCAAACAGAGCCTATATTTTTCTTCCAATAATGCTGGAGTGAAATTTTTTATATGATTGTTAAACAGCTTTAATTTTATTTTTAAATGTAATTTTTAGCTTAAAAACCATAGGTTCAACGGGATTAGTGTTATTGAGGATGATGATGTGGGAATCTGTTAATTCTTTTAGATAGGTAATTTGGATTAGTGTTATTAAAATCGACCGGACTTGGTTGATCCAACTGGTTGAACCAGAAATAAGATGATTAATCGGTCCAGTTCAATTAACTAATCATCCATGCACACAACCCGATTAAGAATAAGTGAGTCAATCATAAACTGAGTTCAATCAATACTAATTTGATATCAATTTTTTGGTTGAACTAGTCCTTGAAAATTATTGCCAAATATTTCACCACAATTGCACTCCTGGATTTGGCACAAGCAAATGAGAATGAAATGTTAACCATTATGTCACGTCATTTTAGTTGTCAAATTATTTATATTTATATATTTTATTTTTACATAAATTCAATTGAACCTATTCAACCAATGATTCGTTGATTGAATTAGTAACTTATTAAACCAGTACCTGGTTGAGACAATGATAGTTTAATAACATTGTCTAGACATCATAAATAGTGAGTTGTGATTATTTTTTTAATTTCATGACCCTAATTAATTATTTGGGAAGAGTTAGATTTTCCAAGTATCCCATGACCCAAGAAGGAAAAGGATCCAAATCGAGAGGTGTGATAATTAATCAGCTCTAATTTTAAAGGAGTTCTCTAAAATTCACAACCCTACTCTTTTGGTGGTTCATTCGTCATAGAAATATTTATTTTTTAAAAATTTAATTATTTTATGGAATGGTCACAATTTCAATAATAAAATCAATAAGTAAAATAATAATTTTAGTTTGATAGCTATGAATGTATTATTAATTAATAACTTAATTAATGGCTAAATTTTTCACATCACATGTTGCTTAAAAATAGACATGAAATAATCTATCCCTTGATCGATCTTATTTACAAGATGGGTGTGCAAATAGCATGGTTGACTTTTGCACCAAATAATTTATACTTATTCTTCATGAATCGCTACATATACTTGGTGGAGCATCCTTTTGAACGGGAGTTTTTCCATTAATTTGGTCTTATTTTTTACAAGCAGACGTATGTTTAGTATCTTGTGTATAAGAAGTGTAGACTTTAGAATAGGTAATTATTAAAAGGATGGAGATAATATTTAAAGAATAATCTCACGTATCTATATTATATTATAAGGGGAATGATATTGTGACAACCAAGTTGTGTTACTACCAAGTGACTACCAATCAATCTCACTGTTAGATCGACTATGTTGATCCAACGGTTATATTTATTTCCATCTTTGTATGGTCATGATTCTCTATATTTGAAGTGAAAGCATTAAATATGGGAAATCATAATCATACAAAGGTGAAAATAAATATAAAGTATTAAATTTGGGAAATCATAAACATACAAAGATGGAAATAAATATAACCGTTGGATCAATATAATCGATCTAACGGTAAGATTGATTGGTAGTCACTTGGTAGTAACACAACTAAGTTGTCACAATATCCTTCCCTATATTATAATTCAAAATTATTATATGAAAAGTTTTGTCACGTGTAACTCGTACAATAATTTGAATTCTTCTGAAAAATGTAAACTTTCTATCTTAAGCAAGTTTTAAAAAAAAATTAACTTATATGTGTAATGGGCCAAGTGGGACTTGATCATAGTGCAATCTAATTAATTTAAATATTAAATTAATAAAATTAATTTAAATTCTAATTTTGATTAAATTTTAAAATTTTAATTTAAATATAGTCATGAAATTAGATTTAATAATAATGGAGAAAATTAAGGAAATCAATTAATTAAATTAATTGACTCAAATTAAAGAAACCAATTAATTAAATTGATTGGCTAAAATTAGGAAAACCAATCAATCGGATTGATTGGATAAAAATAAATAAATACCCAATATGATTGAGAAGTGATGGGACGCTAATCTATGGGTTGATTAGCCTTCATATTTAGTTTCCTTTTTTTCTTATTTAAATGAGATATTTTTCTTATTTTGCTCCATCAAAGATCCTAGTGAAAAATTACTCCATTCTTTAGAAAGTTTGTTGATGTGTTAATGCATTTTTTGTTTGATAATTGGCTTGTGTGCACATATTTCTTTTGTTCTCTGTCTATTTTTCTTTTTTTGAAAAGTGTAATTCATACAATGATTTGAATTTATTGAAAAGTGTAAACTTTCCATCTTAACAAGTTTTTGAAAAAATTAAATTATATGGGTCACACACAAATTAATAAACTTAATTTGAATTATAATTTTGAATTTTGAATTGGAAATTTGAATTTAAATATAGTCATCAAATTAGATTTGATGACAACAAAGAAAATTAATCTAACCAATTAATTATATTGATCGGCTCAAATTAAGGAAACCAATTACTAATGTGGTGGCCCCTCTATCTTGAACAAACCCTAGCCGCCACTCTCCCTTGGCCTTTCTTTTGAGTTTTAGCAACCTCTCTTAAAGAATTTCAGATGTTGAAGAATCGTTCTTCTCCTGCAAGACAACAAGGTGGTGTGGACTTTCATTGGAGGACTTATGGTTTCAAGTCTTGCGTTGTGTAACGCTTTTGATCAAAGCATTTTTCTACCAATAATTTCCTTTGAGGTAGACAAAACGTCTCTTTCATCATCTTGTGTCTCATCCGCTTATTCTCACTTTTCAGTATATCTCCCATGCAATATCCCTTCCATCTTTTTTTCTGTCATCTGAATTGCAACTTTCTCCAAAATTAAAATGGCATCTTCGACTTCTGACTCAAAACAAGCAAGATTTAAAAGAAAGCTTTAGCTGTGTAGGAAACAACGACAATTGAGAAACCCATACAATTCATGTAATTCTAGTTTTTTGCAAACAATATTCCACTCAACAATTTTGCATCATTTGTTCTTTCCTTCAACGAAACAATTTCATTTAAATTTTATACTCTACAATGAAAAATTCATATCCCTCTGTACTCATAAAACATTGTTTCTCTTTAAACAATTGTTTCACATACGTCTAATGCCTAATACCAATTTCAACTATAATAATAAATTAAAAATGTTTATTTTTTTATGGTTGTTTCTATCAAGTAAGTCTTTAAAAGAATAATATGGTTAAGATATTAATTTTTGTTTCCAAATTTTATAATTTGTAACCAATTTTTAGTAACACATAACGTTTTTAGACATATCATACTGTTATTAAGTAATTTAGTTGAAATATAATTTGATTTCATATACAAAAGTTTAAAAATAAAGTATTTCTCTTTGAATTTAGTTTTTTAATTCTTCTTATTGTTTAGTATTCCATTATAATTTAAAATTTTAAAATAACAATATCTTACATGTGTTAACTCATCAAAAGATCTTGCAGAATAAATTTATAATGTACAATTCATGTTTAAATGTCTTTCATATGCATTACTATACAATTGCTCATATTTGTTGAATATCATTGATAGTGTTAAAAGAAAATCAAAATCCAACTCTATGCAATGATTGTACTACTCCTTTGACAAAAAGAGCAAGACCAGACATGTCATATGTTCCTACTGATATATAATTGACAAGGTTAAGATTATTAATGTTAACTTCTTCAATTTAAATATTATTTATATTATTTTATACATCAAACTTATTAGCAATTAGAAACAAATATATACTATTTTATTTTAAATTTGTAACAATATTTGTAGAGTTACTGGAAATCAACTTCGAAGTCAGTTGAGCGTGCTTCAACTCAACAGAGAAAACGAGGAAGATCGTTACAAACATTCAATCTTACACCTGCTATACAAGGTCTATTTGTAATACAAATTTATTCCTATGATTAAATTTTTATATTCAATTAAACTCACAAATTCTCATTTGTGTAGCAACAACACATGTGTCGACACCATTGACTAATTCAGCAACAACGTTTAACCCAAACAAAAGAGTTGCACTGCTAGAAATCTCAAATGGTAGGTGACTTTATAATTTTATTTTTAAATCTTTGACTAAATTATATGTCTTCATTTAATTAGGATGTAACCTCATAATACTTTATAATTCTCATAGTTTATTAGCAGTTACATCTATAATGATATTTTTCATTTATTAATTACTTATGAACTATATTGTCTTATTGTATATCACAAAGTTGTTTGCATTTTTAACAAAAATGCATTGTAATTTGTTTTCATTTTCCAAAAATATTTTGTAGGCTTACAACAAACTTAATCTGCCTCTGATCAGGAAGTTTATTCAAATCAAGTAACCAAATGAGGAGAGCACCAACATCATTTAATCGAACCTCTGCTATTG